GTTTCTTAGAGCTCCGCAATGTAGCTTTAATGTCTACTGGCTCTAGCAGATGCTTTATAGATTTATAGATGCTACAACTATTGAAGTGTGCGGCATTTCGATTCTTTGATACGATTATTTTAACAAGTTACTTAACTTTTATTAACAAGAAGATCTTATTTTAGACCATTTGGTATTCTGCCGTTAAACTGGTTAAACAATGAACTCTGCGGTAAAATCCTAACACTGGTTGAATATAATACAAATTAATTCCTTTTTTTTTTTATTGCCCTTGTAGGCAGGCGAGCATACGGCCCACCTGATGGTGAGTGGTTACCGTTGCCCATGGACTTCAGCAATGCCAGGGGCAGAGCCAAGCCGCTGCCTACCGCAATACACACAATCCTAATACACATTATGCTGTACCAATGAAATCTTGATAGCCAAGGATCAGCCTCATTAAACCACGCATTCAAAAGAACTTGCTTACATACTGAAAAAAACTGTTGCCCATCACAATATTAAAAGTTTAAATTATTCCCGAACGAATGGTGGTCTCCTCGCGTTGGCGCCAAAGCTATTCAATGGTCTATTCTTATTATTGAACACGACCTTCGGGGATACGAGACTGTGGAATTTTAACCAGCATCGCTATCTTCCAGGAATCGTGCTGCACGCGTGTACCACGCACATTTTTTTCTAGAGTGCACTACGTTTATAGGATCGAATACTCACAATGTGAAACGAAAATATATTGATACTTTAGTTGTGATTTAATAAAAAATTTTATCAAAATCATTAGTTGATTTTTGTATATTACGTATGTATGTAATGTTACGGGTTCCAAGTTGATTTTCGTATGTAAAATAAAATACCAATTTTATTAAATTCAAATTCAAATTATCATTCATCAAATATAAATACACAACACTGAAACTTCACATAATCGCACGATATAGTTAAAAATTGTAATTATAAATTGAAAATAGTTTCAAATATCAAACTCGTTGAAGCGGCATAATATACATGCATTCCATTGCCTTCTTAGCGCCAGCCTACCTGTGTTATAAAAAAGCATTCTGGCTGCAGGGCCGCGTCGGCGCTTTTGAGATAATTTATAAGGCTTTGCCTTTCTTGGAATTTCGAAATCTCGTCGAGATGGCTTTCGTGGCGTGTTCGCGGACCACTCGCGGCACCGGAGACTGGAATGTAACGGATTTGTATAGGAAAAATGTTCCATTGTCGAACTCGCTAGACGCTATTGTTATAGTTTGAATTGCATTTTTGTCATGTTTTCTAATTTATGAGAGAATAGGTTCATTTAACACTCTTAGTTTAATATCATTTAGTTCTAAACTCAATCCACAGCAAGGAAGTGATCTAAGAGAAGTACATACGTACTAACTAAAGTTGAACTTAAAAAATAAAATAAGTTTCATGTCTGTATGTATGTACGTTGTGCTTATAAAAAAAGGTATTTTAAAATTTTAGGCAAACAGTACTCGTATCTTGATGTACCTACATAGATTATACAAGTCGAAACCATGGACGATATAATTTCTTACTTTAATAACACCAATTAGAATCATTTGGAGTTCAGAACATAAACTCAATTCATTTTTATTTCACTTATTTCCAAAGATAACTAACGAATTTTTTTTTGTCATTGATTGCAGACGAGTCTACAAGCCAACCTTGTCGTATGTTACTGCCGTTGCCCTCTATTTTTTTAGAGAGGAGTAATAGTACTTATAGTTCTTCTTTTTTTAATGAAGGTACAAAGGAGACAACGGCCAAGAGTACGTCAAGGCTTGTGAACTTTTTTGAGTTTTAAAAACTTTTTAAGGATCTACATTTATAACTACTTACATTCTTTTTGTACGTGAAAGTACTTCGAACAAGTGGTCCCGTCTCCTGGCTTGCGACGAAGTTCTGGGAAAAGCCGCGCATTCCACAAAACGGGCTCCCATTGGACAATAAGCAATCGACAAACACCAGACAGAATCAGAAGTGACAATAATAGAGCAAAAGAACTTCAATAAAATCCTATGAACTAAGCAGGTAGATCTATATATGTTTTTGGAAACTGACGCAATAAATAAGCAGTTATAGTAAAATTTTGAAGCTTGTTTTCAAATACAATAATCTGAGGCAAATTTTAAAACATATTATAATATCAAGCTTATAGATACGTAGGTACATCTATTTGGAATAATGGAACTTGTACCCTTAGTGAAATTTTTTTGGAGGGAGGCTTTACATGTGGTCCGGAGTTCTTTCCGGTTTCACAAGGACAGATGGACGAGCATAAGCTCAGCCAGGAGGTGTGGGACTTACTAACAGCTTCCGAAGGAGCCTAATAGCTCGAGGGTGGCTATATTCCGAATGAATCTGCTACCGGATTGGAATCGCGACTCGCCGCGCAGATCGAAACTCAGCGGTCTGATTAACGACAGCTTAAAGTCGGACTGTATAATTACTACGAATTAGTACTCGACAAAACACATTAGCCTAAACAAATCAACAAGCTCATCAGTAGTAATCAGATGTTGTTAAATTTCTTCTATCTCACTTTTTGTTTGGCATTTACATTTGAATAAATTGTCATCATACCCGAAAGTAGCTCTTCAAAAAGGCATTATGTTGATGTTAGTAAAATTATATTGCCTTGATTTATAATGAAAATAAATAGTGCTTTGAGTTCTGTCAGTTCTACTCTATGGTTGTTGTTAAGTCACGAAGCAACTCTATACGTATAACTAGCTATAGGCCTGGCTCGGCACGGTGGGTCCATTCATTAAAATATGCATTTATAACTTTTGTACGTCTATACTTCTACATATTATTATATTAATACGCCGCCACTTTTCAGATCCGTGTTTATGATCTTTTTAATTCAGCCTCGCTCGTAAAACGGTCTAAGATATAAAACTTGAACAGAAATAATTTCGAACAGAACCATTGAAGTATTTTCCTTATGGTGTTTTAGAGATTAAATTAAATTAATTGTACGTAATAATTATAATAAATAAGTAACGATCATATCTATGAGCATTTTAGAAGTCACAATTTTTGTACAAAATAATGTACTTAGCCTAGCAGACTAGTCAAGTTCACATCTCATCTTATGATAATGGTTATCGGAGCCAATAGACACCGCAAAAAGAATATCTATCTTCTACCCAATCCAGATATAAGTCGAAGTCATAATAGCTGAAAATAATTTATATTTTTTAAAAATTTTAAATTCAAATAGTCCCTGCTTCATTACAACGTGACTGCCAGCATTCGGATTGAGAGATGAGATTGAATTATGTACCTATATAACGACTATAAACAGAATACAGATAATAATATAACTCGAGAAAACAAGAAGCCAAACACTTTTTATGAAGTGCGTATTTCGTAAATGCGCAATCTGAATTATAGATTGTTGCCGGACACCTGGGCTCTCGCGTGATACATTTACTTCGCTTGACAGCTGATTTTGAATAGACATACGTTGAACGATGTGCAAAAAAATACAGTAGAATGAAAGTAACACACGCTCTCAATTGAGAACCACTTCATATTTTGAAGTCGGTTGTATTTTTCCCATACACTGTAAACACTGATTTTTAAGACCGTGGCTAGTTTGTTAATTATAGTTAGTTTGGTAATTAAACGTTTAGAACGGTGTAGACTGCTTCACTCTGATCATAATTCACACAGGAAATATTTGATTTTGCAACAATAAAACTGCTCTCTTTTCAAGATCGGGACTCCTAAACATTATATATTATTCTTCGCATTAGGGACTCCAGGACTTCCCCGCAAATCGAAGTCGGTATGATTATGGAGTATGGAGAAACTTAAGGCTTTTTAGGTCGCTCACTAGAGGTTGTAGGTTTGAAATCTACAATGCCTATTTATAAAATGTTGATTTTCTAAGAAGTTTATCGATGTCATTAAAAGGTTAGTAGTAGTCGGCTCTACTTCATCTGCCAGCCAGTACAGGTTTGTGAATAAATAAAACAGATATGCTCTCTCGTATTAATTAAGTATATCTTTTTTTTTCTAAGCTGATAGCCTTGAGAGGCTATTTCAGCGTAACCTTAACTAGTAGGTGAGCTCACGGGGCTTAAACTTGACGACGTTGCTAACACGAACCCTAACAAGAGCCGTGCTTCTCAGAATCTACCAAACGATATCAATAAATTATACTGATAATTCTTTCTATAACGTTATTCGTATCTTTTAAAGAAACTTATAAACTTGAATAAAGCGAGGGTCCCAAATGCAAGGAAATTAGGACAATGATGAGGGGGTGAGAGGTAAGGGATGAAGACGACAGCTGGTGAGCACGTGGAAGTGCAGCTGTCGATGCTGCTGCACGCCCGCACACTCGCAGCTCGCAAGCTGTTGGCGCACCTGCCACGAGCCAAATAATTCTTTTTTTTTTCATCATTCGTTTATCCATGTTTTTTTAATACATTTCATAACATTTTACTTAGTAAGTAAATCTGGATAGATACTTATTTTACATAGCCCGTAACATAAACAATCATTTCTTCCTAAACTTGGGTTATCATAAAGTCATTACCTACATTTTTAAAATGATTATTAATGCGTTTCGTATGAAATTATTTACTAGGAAATGGTCATTAATTTAAAAGTTAATTAAAAAGCGCAAAAATGTTATGTTACGATTTTGTTGCACAGAAAATATTATATGTGCAGACATGCTAAAAATATTAGTGACGCAATCGATACGTCTTTCTGAACATTGTCAATAAACAAATCTACCTACACATAACATTAATTTATGTATGAACGATTATCACCTATCGGACTAGCATAGATTATNATGGTCATTAATTTAAAAGTTAATTAAAAAGCGCAAAAATGTTATGTTACGATTTTGTTGCACAGAAAATATTATATGTGCAGACATGCTAAAAATATTAGTGACGCAATCGATACGTCTTTCTGAACATTGTCAATAAACAAATCTACCTACACATAACATTAATTTATGTATGAACGATTATCACCTATCGGACTAGCATAGATTATATCGTATTTCGCATTATATCCGCGGCATCTGGAACAGAACGCCGCCGTTTGTAAATTGCCTTTTTCGTTCATGGTACTAAAAAGTTTTAATTTAATTTAATGTGATCTAAGTGTCAGTGTCAGAAACTAAAAAAGTTACTAAGGTACATATTATTTGCTAATACTACTTTTTAATTTTAGATCGTCTTCAGTACAATACATCCTAACATTATGTGTATATGCAAAATAATATTCTGAAAATGGAATTCCCATCGGAAAGACAAAATATATAGTTTGTTTTAAATTACTAAAATGAATCAGGAAAATGAATCGACCGAAGTAAATTCAGAAAATATAGCAAGCACTTCAGGAGGTATGTATAAAATCGTTGTTACCCATTTTCCTCCAGACTTTATTTGATTGATAAGAATTATAAAATAATCGGAATTTTGAGGTAAGAATTAATTTATTATAAAAAAAGATTATTTAACTTAAATCCTACCAAATTAGAGGAATGGGTGAAACTTTAGAGAGTGGAAATGAAAGTGTAGATGAAAAATACTTTACTATAGTGCACACCGTGTGTAGGGTAGTGGTAGATGTAAACATTATAAGAGACTCAATGTCATATTCATAAGTCTACTTAATGTGCATTAAATGATACTATTTATTTAATCAGTAATAGATGGAACCCTAGGCACTATCAGCAAGCAACTGTTGATGAAATGACCTTTGAAATTGGCAATGAGGGAAAATATTCCGTAAAATTGTTGAAGTTAATCGAAACTAGCTGTATTTTACGGGTAAATCGGATACGGATAAAATTACAGAATACAGATACATTGTACTACATTTACTTTTTTAATTATTGAATAGGAGTTTCCTTCTCGTTAACATTACAGTCTCAACTATAAAAATTAAATGTAAATAGAAAAATAGCAGAGTTTATTTTAAATTAAATACAACAAGAGAGCGAAACAATAAATTCATAATCTAAAAAATCACTAAATTCTTTCGGCGGCTAAGGCTATGATTGGTTGATTCGTTGAGAGCGAGAAAAAAAGATCCATATTCGTACGTGTTAGAAAGAGTTCGAGCTACAATCCTATAATCCACTACTTGCTGCTCGGCTCGCCCATCGCTGGCGCTGCATTATTAAACTCACTTCACTTCGGTAGTGTGAATGTTAACGTGAAACTCCGCGCTCTTCTTTAGTTGCTACTCGGTTCTGTCTGGCTGCGTTGACGTTTTGGAACTTCATACTATTTTGTTTTTGCAAGACGAGTGTCAGTGATTAAACAAAAACATAAGAATAGACGTTTTATGCGTTACTAAAAAAAAGGAAAAATATACCAATGGAGTTGACGAAAGGTAAAAAATTGCTTACATAACCTCTGTATCAACATATGGAGAATTCAATTTTATGAGTTGTTGTTAGTATGTTAGTAAAGCATTTAGTTATAAATATAAAATTACAGAGATTCATGTCAAGTAAATTTTTCTTAATATGGTTTTACTTTTGTTAGTTGAAATTAATTAGTGAATAATATTTGATTGTTACCACAAATTTTGTGGCTACTTATTTAAACTTCCAAAATATATTATTTATTAATAAATATTGCTCATAAATATTTCCATGTACATATAATTATTTTAGTGATTAAATACATAAAAGTATAGTTTTTCAAATTGGACTTCATACTTTAAAAACATTTTAATCCTATTAGATTTTATTTAAAACTTCTTTTAAATTATATCAAGAAAAACAGCAACTCTAGCAATACAATGTGTTTTACAAGAAATTCTGAGTGTTTATTTCTAAGAATACTGTCCAGTAATCTCCAAATAGATAAGAAACTATCAACATTTTATTTTAATCACAACTTGAACAAATGCTTAATCTGAATTTTGTGTTCAGATTATAATTATGTTTTGTTCATGTTTGTTTTTTTTGTACTTTACTCATTTGAATTAATTGACCTTGTCTTTATGTATACAGTACCCAACGTGGCCTCTTGTTTTGTAACAGTCACTGCCTTTAAATTTGGCAATGGCAGCTACCTACATAAATTTCATGTTGTTTTTCTATTATATGACTAATATTTGTGGATGCTACTAGTGTAAAATTAATTGGAACGGAAGGAAAATCTAATACACTGTAATAATATTTTTGATTGTTTAAAAATAACTAGGTAGATAGCATTTAAAAAATTCAAATGAAACAAGTACCGCCATCTATCGAATGATTGTGGCATTGATTATGTATACGAATACAGCGGGCGACTGTCAGGCCAATCACACTAAACATCATTCTTTCCAATCAAATTCAAAATAAAAAGAAATTTATTCGTTTTCAATAATTTAAAAAAAATCTTAATTTTATGAACATCGGTGACAAGTAAATTTTTTTAACCCACACGCTGTATCTACGTATTAAAAAAAACAGCTTAATTAAATTCATTTTCGGATGTATTTTCTTCATGAAACTTAGAAATCTATCAATAATACTGCGGCTCATAATTATATAATGCCCATATTGTTACAACAGATTGTGCCTTTATAAGACCTAATTAAATTAAATTCGATATCAGTCAATTGAGTCATTTATATGCCAAAGTTCGTCTTTGTAACAAAGTTTGTTTTAGTCACGGGAAACATTGTATGAATGATTTCTAATGTATAGGTAAGCACCTCCACTGACTGCGTATCTAACCTATGTATGGCGCGGTCGAAATAATGAGAACATTTAAAAAAAATGCAATTGATTAATAAAAATATTGCCAGTGCGATTCAGGGTACTTCCATAACTGATAGGTGTCGCTACTCGCGTTGTAGCGGCATGAATGCTAAATCCAAAAAAAAATTGTTAACCACTACATACCACTATTGCATTTTTTTGTCTACCTAAATACCTATTCTATTCTGGCTTCATCCTTACTGGACTGGAGTATAACGGACGCTATCATAATATCGAAAGAAAGTTCTAATAATTTTGTAATAATTAATTTTAACTAAGATAAGTTAGAAATTGATAAACGCGTAAAAAATAATTCGAATTTCCAAGCGACGAAGGATATCGCGGTTGTAGTAATTAAAGTTTGTTTATACGCTCCGCTCAATGCTGGTTTTAGTATGAATACACGCTCCATCTGGCGGACGTTCACATCCGTTTCCGGGCCTCGATCCTTCAGTTTGTTTTTTCAACTTTTATAATGATGAGAGTAACCAAAGTTTGTTTAGACGACATTAACAAACGTTTAAATTCATTCATAGTTTTGAACTCATTCATGGTGTCAGCTGCGAGCTTCGAGATTGACCGTGGGTCTGTAAATTTGTTAGGTATAAATGCGTTATGCGAATGAAGTTGTGTAGCGATGCATTTGTACGCGACAGTCCTCGTAGATAACCAATCTTAACAGATAAGAGTAGAGCGTAGGCGCTACAGGCGAGGCAAAGGAATTCGAAAGCCGAGCGGCGACCACCCATAGGCATGAGAACATGGCCCCGTCCCCTTCCCCACGCTGTTTGCTCGCCGGGCACCGCCTCTCGCCGTTTCCCAAGCACCTTGCTAAATTTTACTGAGATTTTCTACTTGTAATAATTTCCTTCCAGATTTTTTGATATTAGAATTAATACATTTTTGGGTATTAATGCCTTGAAAACAAGCTTTCAGATTATTCACATTAAAAAAAGTGCTACGGAATTTAAAAAAAAAGTTCACATACTGTTTGTCTAAATTCCGAAGGGGCTTTTTTTTCAGAAAATTTAGGCTTTGACCCACCCAACAGTAAACTGCAGCCACATTCCATGGGCCCTTTTTTACGTTGTGTGGTCGCGGTTTCCGCCGAAGACGGCAACGTCGCGACTTAAATATGAATGAAATCCGGTCGGCTGTGAACGGTACGGCAACGTCGCCCCAGACGATGCCTGATTGAGAACTATCCCTCCCGCTTCGTTCTTAGCGCCTTTTTACATGACCACGATCACGGCACGGTCGCTGTCCCATGTGTGAAATAGGATTGTGTGAGTTATGATACCTATAGTATGATGGCCGTGTAATTAAAAATGCTTTTTTGCGGCACGGAGCTATGGTTTCGCCTTACCATTGGACGCGAAGTCGAAATCTCAATTTCATCACATTAACGACTATAAAGGATAATAATTATCCTTCTTCCAAACCCGAACATACGAAGATGTAATGTTTACAGCTTAAACATTTTCCCGCACGGCGACCGTACCATGACCGCAGACGTGTGAAAAGGCACTGTTGTGAGAAATACTAAAGACTTTTTTTTATCTTGGACCACCTTTTACACTGTAGGTTGAAAATTGTAAAACATCAATTATGATAGATACTATGTACTGTGTTATCAATTTACATATGATATATTCTTTTAAAATAGACATATTCTGTGTAATGTAAGAATGAGTGCAGTTTAGGTGTCCATTAAAAATTGTTACAATTTTTTTTATTTTTGTACTGAAGCAGACAGCTGTAAACGCACCCCAATGACGTAGATGTGGAACCCTCGTCATTACGCACGCATGCGCATTTAGGGTGGTCGTCGCAATACGATATCGCCACCAAGGCAGACGATGTGTACGACGAGTATTTCGACAACGATGCTTGAAGCCAGTCAAACGCCATTATATAAAGAAAATTTAAATAAATCTTTCTGGATACATAGTGTATAGTTTTAGAGCAATGTGCATTCAAAGTGTTACGTGAATGTTTCGTGTCGTCGGATTCGTTTAGACTTAATAATTCAAAAATGCCACTATTCGTAGATACTAAAAACAGAAATGGTAAATATCGATCGGTGTGTTATTATGCGGCCATTGTTTTACGATGTTTTTCAGAATTTGTTACTTTTAATATAAATTTTCTATCTGTAATGATTTACGAACGTTTGTTTAGAACTTTTTAATATAAGTCTGGTTTTACTAATTTCCATAATTTCCTCTGTAATTCAGTAATATGAATGAAACTGTTTACTTGTTTACATAATATCACATAACTTTACTATAAAGAAAAGCGTAATAGGTTTGGTTTTTTTGTAGAATTCTTATTTGAAAAATACATTCTTATAGAGTAAATTTTACTGATATAGTTTACATTCTATATAAATGTAGTTAGGTGCTACGGATTATCCGTCTGCTTCCTGTTTTAATAACGTATTTACTGTTGTTGACAAGCTCGTTAATGTTTACGAGAATTGGCTTTTTGTGCAGAGAGCTCGAGTTACAGTTGGATTGAAATTCCTTTCTCAGTAGGTATGAGTACTCCGCGTACTGAATGCACGCAAACCGAGGGGGGTATGAGGTTCGCCGGGAGGGGAGCGCCGGGGATTGGAATGTCGATGACGCAGCCAGCCGGGTCGGCCATGGCCGCGTACTTAGTCTTGTCGTCATGTGAAAATGTTTTTGAACCCAATTCTCCGCGCCCAGCTTACAAAAAATAACAACCTAATTGAACTTAGTCATAATTTTGGGTCCGATGCTAATGTCCGATGTACAGATTATTCAGATATTAGGATAATTATTGTTACGATGTTTATTTAACAGTTGATAGTTGTTTACAGATACAACAATTTCATTAATGTACTATTTTAATCGTCACTAATTATTAAAGAAAGTTATTCTAATTAACGATTGAATTAGTTTATATGTATCGATAGTGCGTAATGTGAACTTATTCTGTTGTTACAGTTGCTAAAAATGGAGCTGCCGCCACGTTGGTGATGTTAAAAAATGCGCGGGATGCAAAAATGCGACCTTTCATTGGTCCGCTCATGTTATCCTCGTGCGAGTCTTCAACGACATCCACACTCCCGTCACCTTCGTCGTCAGCTGATAAAACGGATAATCACGACACATTCAACTTCCTTCCTGATATGCCCGACATGCGTCGTGAAGAGGAACGTCTGAAAACATTTGATCAGTGGCCCGTTACGTTTTTGACGCCGGAACAATTGGCCCGCAACGGATTCTACTACCTCGGTCGCGGCGACGAGGTGTGCTGTGCTTTCTGTAAGGTAGAAATTATGAGGTGGGTCGAAGGCGACGATCCTGCCGCCGATCATCGGAGATGGGCGCCCCAGTGTCCCTTTGTACGAAAACAAATGTATGCCAACGCTGGGGGAGAGGCGGCTGCTGTCGGTAGAGACGAATGTGGGGCCAGTGCGGCCACGCAGCCTCCCCGCATGCCCGGCCCCGTGCACGCGCGGTACTCCACCGAGGCCGCGCGGCTCGCCACCTTCAAGGACTGGCCGAGATGTATGCGCCAAAAACCCGAGGAACTGGCAGAGGCCGGATTCTTCTATACAGGCCAAGGTGACAAAACGAAATGCTTCTATTGCGACGGAGGGCTAAAAGATTGGGAAAGCGATGACGTTCCGTGGGAACAGCACGCCAGATGGTTCGACCGCTGCGCGTACGTGCAATTGGTGAAAGGACGTGACTACATTCAGAAGGTGAAGTCGGAGGCCACTGCGATATCTGCTAGCGAAGAAGAACAGGCCGCCACCAATGATTCGACTAAGAACGTCGCTCAAGAGGGCGAGAAACATTTGGATGACTCTAAAATATGTAAAATATGTTATTCCGAGGAGCGTAACGTGTGCTTCGTGCCGTGCGGCCACGTGGTGGCGTGCGCCAAGTGCGCGCTGTCGACGGACAAGTGCCCGATGTGTCGCAGGACGTTCACGAATGCGGTGCGGCTCTACTTCTCGTGAAAGGACCCTCCTCGCGAGCTGTATACTAGTCACTTCACCGGGCGGCCCTGAAGCGTGCTGAAACCACCCTTCGAACGAAACCGCGTATCCTGTGATTTTTACATTAAATAAATTTACAAATTGATAGCGGTGGGGCAATGTATAGGAACTCGTCAGAACTCGCGAGTTGACGTGCAGGAAGGAGTTAGTGATTTGTAAACTTGTAAACTGATGTTGAAATGATTTTATTTATTATTTAAAATTCTAATGACAAAGTGTAAGTAAATAAATGTACATATTATTTTAGATTATCAATTTGTCCCACCGACAAAAGTGAAATGTACATAGGTGTTTTCATATCACTTCAACAGCNTAGGAACTCGTCAGAACTCGCGAGTTGACGTGCAGGAAGGAGTTAGTGATTTGTAAACTTGTAAACTGATGTTGAAATGATTTTATTTATTATTTAAAATTCTAATGACAAAGTGTAAGTAAATAAATGTACATATTATTTTAGATTATCAATTTGTCCCACCGACAAAAGTGAAATGTACATAGGTGTTTTCATATCACTTCAACAGCTGAAGACCTTCTTTTTGAATTTAAGGATATATATTTATACATATAAATTAAAATTTTAACGAGACATCAATATAAATGTTTTAACAACTTATTTATACACTGAAATCAAGTGAAGTGTAACATGGTCTGAAGAATGTTTTACTGATTTCACTTCCCCTGTTGAAGTGATAAAATTCTAATGTAAATCCAGAGTTTAAATAACGTCATAATTAATATAAGAAACAAGTTTTACGCTTCTTTTGCTTGAAAAATCTTATAATTGATTCAGGAATTATTTAATGTGACTATATTTTGTTCCTGTAAATAATATAATATATACTATTTATTGATTAATTCTGACATAATTTATGGCAATTCCGTAAGATACAATCCAATACTTATTTCATGTAACTCACTTCAAAATAGTTGAATGTGTGGTGTGATTATAATGTTAAATGTCTAAATTTAATAAATTGAGCGAAGTTGCATTTAATGTATGAATACTAATTATTGTTTTAACAAAACATTTAAGTATAATCTGCTCTGTGATTTTAATGTATCAAGAAACAACCCCAACACCTTAATTGAAATTTTTACATTGTTGCTGATAAAAAAAATCATATCAATTACATTTACAAGTCGAATTTTAATTGTTCAGAAAACAAACACAATTTTGTTAGTGACTCCTGCTTTACGAAGTAGTATGACAAACCAGTGTTTCGTTGATTGCATTAATTTAGTTGTAAACAATATTTACACTCAACATTATAAGATGTCATTGAGGAATTCTGTATAAAAAATGGGAATTTATTTATTGGTGTATAATACAATCCCGCACAAGCCATTTGCAAGTTTCTACACAACTAAAACGTATTGTATCCATTATCTATACGTCATATCATTAATATATACTTGCTTTGGCAAACATATATTCACGAATAACTTCACAATATATTTTTGTAAATCAACATATTAATGGTAATTAACGAATCGCACGGTACAAATAGTGATAACTGCTGAGTGCACTAAATAGTAAGAGAATTTATTTAAACAGTCAAATTTTGTTTCATAAGTAGTTATTTCATACTGTTGAATGTTATTCATTAAAACAAATGTTAAATCAAATATTTGAGTTTTATTTGAAATCTTCTACAGTTAGGATGAAGTTTCGGGTTTTAAAGAAAATTTACTAAATTGATACTTTCTGTTATAATCAGATTGTAACCGCAAATAATTTACATCTGCAAGTGTCAGCCGAATCATTTTCAGAATTGCCCACTCCATACTTTTCAGTTATCATATTGAAAAATTATGATTGTCATAGCGTCCCCATTTATATTATATAGAAGAGTGACACATAACGGTAGGCAGCGGTTTGGCTCTGCTCCTGGCATTGCTGAAGTCCATGGGCGACGGTAACCACTTACCATCAGGTGGGCCGTATGCGCATCTGCTTACATGGGCAATAAAAAAAATTTAAAAAAACCTCGCCTTTTCACATTAAAAGTGTACTGTTTCCAAAATTATTCGACATTGAGTTAATATGCGTAAACATTTAGTATCACCACTATTTTTGTCATAAATACTGTCAAAAGAGCGTACCTAGTTTAGTTTTAATTTTTTTTTTAGTTTACCTATGTTTTTACTACTATTAACAAAATGAATACATAATTTTATCTTACTGTAAAAGACAGATAATGTAACTGGTAAAAATTAAAAAATTAATGTTGCAAAGATGATTAATATTAAAAATATTACACGTTAAATCTTTAAAACACTCCTGCAAAATTAGTAAGTTTTGAGATTATACAGTTTTAATGCGAGAAGACGATCTGGTTTTTTTTTTTTGTTCATCACGAAATCGCCGGACTTCCGCCCTCCACTGGGAATGGCGGCATTACGGAGTCGAACCGACTAAAATCTCCTGTCGCTCAACAACCATCGTCCAAACCTCGCATGAGACAGAACTCATGAAAGTGCAAAGGGGGGAAAGTGAAGCGTTTAGTTCGGAGCACATCTCTCTCACCGCCCTCCGCGGTCGGCATGCCGGACCGCCGGTCATCGGCGCCACGACCACCAGCCCTCTCGTTCGGCAGGCTATCCGAAGCCCAGAATACCCCGCTGGGTCAGAACCAGCGTGGGTCGAGGATAGCCGGCCTACCATCACCCGGATGCTCTTATGTAAAACGCGTGCAGTCGTCTTCTTGGGCCCCCCTCGCTGGTCTTTCACCGTCGTCGCCGCCGAGCATCGATGCCACAACGCTCGTCAATGAAAAGACGTCTCCTATTTTTGCGACAAGGTCACGGACATCTATGGCACCCATTTTTTAATGAGTACTGTTACTCTATAATACTAAAGAGTCTAAAGAAATACGTTGTGGATGAAATATACATAAGTTTTCGAAAGTAAGACTAAAAAAAGAAAAGTCCAGTGAGTAAAACACCTTCAATTTATCGGAACTTTATATTAAAACAATTATCCATACTTCACAATATTAGAGTTTGGACATATTTGTTGTCACAAGTTAACAATTCTTGTTTTAAAATCTTGATCTCTTGCATCATTTTATCATCACTACTGGCAGATGCTTGAATTTCTTTGCATTTTTTTAAGAATTCTTTAATAAGCTTCTGACCCTCTGCTGTTTCGTTCGATTCCATAGCCGCTTCAACTTCGTATAAATTCGTTTCTAGCTCCGCTTGTTTCGCTTCTGCATACTGAAAATAAAAAGTAATCTTTTAATACAGTGTAAAAATGAGCTGTCGGATTCACTCTGTGGTTTCAAGTGAGTACAGTGTGCTTAGTGCCAGTTTTTTAACGTTCTCGATAGCGTAAAAGTTAGTCCAATTTTGTATGCAGTTGGAACAGCGCCCCTAGCGGTAAACGTAGGCAAACGATCCCGTTCCATACAAATATGAGCTAACTTTTACGCTACCTATCGAGAACATTAAAAAACTCGCACCAAGCACACGGGAAGCCTTAACACACCGCAGCGTGAACATCGCCATATCTTTTGAGATGTAAAACTGACGACTCAATGGGGCCTTTGAGAAATATTTTCAAAGATTCTTAAGTGCGCACACATTTATTATAAAATTCGATACCGATCAAATTCCCATTAAAATCGCACAAAGTTACAGAAGTATCAGTTCGAGTGCTGTCTATGAACAAGAAAAAAGAAGATTGATTGATAAAGGTACAAAATTTTTGTATGTATCTTTTTTTTATTTAGGAAGAAGTATACTTGTATTTTTTTAAATAAGTTCGAGTGAATTCGATTAACGGGGTTCCTGCCTTTCAGAGCGAAATATATGACTGTTCGGGACTGAACATACAGCAGTGGAGTCAGCTCGTGGAATTGACTAATAAGCTCAAAATTATTCATTACTTAATAGTTCTACAACATTAGTGTAAAGTGTAAGTTATAAATGATCCACCAAAGTATAACCTAATACACTTAGAACACTCATAGAACACTTTAAAATTCTTAATTCACTTCTCCACTTCGCTTCAGGTGACCCGTTCGCAGCTTCGCTTTAGTAGTTCCGATTGCTAACTACGCAGTCAGTTCTCTCTGCAACGCTTTTATAGTCGATACGACCTCCCTATACTTATTGATAACATTCTGGGCAAGTCGAGTAGCTTCGACGTGTGTTTCCACTATCAATAGATGGCGTTGTACTTTTCGAGCTTTCTCGACGTTACAAGTTCCTTTGATATTCGTTTCGGGTATTCGGCGATAGATGGCGTTACTCTTACCTTAACAATATTATTAGCACCTCATTTATCCTCACCTCGATAATCGAATCCGGGAGGTCGGCGAGCCTGGCGACGTGCAAGCCGAGTGAACGCGCGGCGGGTCCCGGGAGGATCTTGTGCAGCAGTACCAGCTGTCCATCGACAACCGAAGCTGCCGCGTGCGAGTTCACTATCACGTTCGGGTGAATGCTCGCCAAACGCGTCAACTCGTGATAATGGGTCGCGAACAAACAGAAACATTTGCACTCGTTCGCTAATTGTCTGGAACAAACAAACAAAACAATACTCAATTCTACTATTTCACTGATGGTAGGACGTTTTGTGTGTACGCACGGGTATAGAGCACTACCCTGCCTGCTGTGAAGCAGTAATGAGTTTCGGTTTGAAGGGCGGGGCAGCCGTTGTAACTATTCTGAGACCTTAGAAGTTATATCTCAAGGTGGGTGGCGCATTTGCGTTCTAGATGTCTATGGGCTCCGGTAACCACTTAACATCAGGTGTTTTTTTAGTAAAGCAATTTTCACTGCAAGGGCAGATGAGCTCACAAACCTGATGTTAATCGGCTAACGGTGGGCCCTTATAGAAAGTAACTTAAATACCACAATGTCTTCACACGTGAGGTCAAACTCTCAATAATTGTAATGTATAGCCCGTTTCAGACTCCTTGGGTGGAATGCACGATTGCTTCACGTTAGAAGTAGGCGTTGTGTGTGGCAGCGGTAAGAGCTATCAGTTAGAACGATAAGACGCCAGAAACTCTAAGGCAATCGACACTTAAGACTTTATGGACCCCCACAACATTAGACACCAATAATATTAATATCGAATATCAGTGTGCTTAGTGCGAGTTTTAGCGGCACTCTAGGAGCGCTGTTCCAATCTATACTAATATATGAATCTACAGTGGTTTTTACGGATGTTCCGCTATAACTACTGAACCATGCATCCGATTGACTTGAAACTTGGTATCCATGTAGAAAATACATGTATTTAATGGATAGGCTAATATTTATATGAGTGTTGGACTCCCTACACCAATTGCGGGGGCGATAATGATGAGAATCTTTGTGGGGGTGAGAAATAATATTAATTTTAAATGCCCAGCGAAGCGGACGGGTACAGCTAGTTCAATATATTAATAATTATGATATATAATATATTGTACAAGTAACGTCGCGTCACTCACTCCGCTATAGCCCACGCTATGCCGCAGCCTTCATACGTAGACGTACCCCGTCCCAGCTCGTCAATTAGTACCAAAGAGTTCGGTGTCGCCGTCTGTAATAAGAATTGCGGTATATATTTATATCTTCGTTGCAAATTTGAAATCTCCTATGTGTATAAATGTAGTTTTCGAGAAAATCTAATAAAAATACCTCGTGAAAAATAATATGCAAATATTTTTTTTAGCACATATTATGATACTTTGATCTACAATAAAATGCAAACCGACACTTAAGATTTTTTTAAGATTGACGCGTAATAAAGTGAAATATTGAGATATGCACATAAGAGTTTTTGTTGAGTATAGGTATTCAAAATAACTTTCATAATGATGATTCATAACTTTCATATGAAAACATAATTTGGCCCAAAATGTCACATAGGAGATTTTAATTTTGCATCGACGATATAATATTATTTATCATAAAACTGAATATATTATATTATTATTATATTTACCTCAATAAATTGGACAGCAACATTAACGTTGGTATTCTACAGAAACAGGCAGCTATTCACACATCAATTATACTTAGTAAGGTGCTTGGAGACACAGTATTCGTACATAACACACAAGAACACTACACACAAAACAAGCCACGACCGTCAGACATACAACAGCCACTCGACACACAACATTCAACAAACACACAAAATCCAACAGACACCACTCATACAACGGCAGCACAACAGCCAACAACGCAGCGAGGAGGACGACGAGGAAGAAGAGGCACTACAGTAACACACGCTGGGGTTCTCTCCATCATTAAGTCGTTTTCTATTCTTTCTTTTTTTTTCACTTAAAATCTCATTAAAATTTTGTGGTATAGATATATTTTTTCCTGTGGGAAACGGGACGGGATATTTATCAAAGCCGACACAAGTCGATGAAGAAAAACATAAATAAACTAGTATAATATATTATTATTATTATTATTTCTCATAACACTGAAATCCTTTAATATGAATCCATGTTTAATATTTTTGTCTATAATACATCAGAATCGATTGGAGATTTATAATTTAGGAATCTTGGTTAACCAAGTTTTCTTTAATATCGAGGTAGACTTTAATCTTGTCAAGTGATCCGTTGGAACTGTAAGTATGTATCTGCTATTAATGACGTCATGATCACGCGTACTCAATTTTACTTTCAATATTTTTTTTATTTTTTTTTGTCCTTGTAGGCAGTCAAGCGTACGGCCCACCTGATGGTGAGTGGTTACTGTCGCTCATAGACGTCAGCAATGCCAGGGGTAGAGCCAAGCCGTTGCCTACCGTTAAGTACTCTCCAAAAGCCTCGTCTGAAGAAGGACATGTCATAGCGCTCGGGAAACACCGTGGAGGAGAGCTCATTCCAAAGCCGGATGGTACATGGCAAAAAAATCTCTGGAAACGCACCGTGGACGAACGCAGTGGTTCCAAGTAGTATTTATTATTCATATTCAAAGAAATTTTTGAGTTAAATAAGAAATTCCGGTATTTTCAAAAATTCGTCGTTATCCTTCCCAGAAGATTAGTATACTATTAGACAGTTAATTAAACCACAAGATAAATGACAATAACAACTTACATACGAACTATGTTATTTTGTTCATAAGTTTTTGTGGAATGAGTGTAAAAATTGTTAATCACAACAGTTCATTTTGTGAATGAAACAAAAATTGTAATTACTTGTGTATGCTAATCGAATTTGTATAAAAAAATCTTGTTTGTAAAAAACGTGAGATAAATGAAATCTTGTATCTAAGCATTGTATTATGCGATAGTAATAGTTGAGAGACTCATTCAATACCAACAACATTCATTTAAAGTTTATAAGGCGTATTTCACAGTTGGTTTATATGCGAAAGTTAACACCAATTATGTAGGCATGTATTTTTTTTAGGATTGAAGGATTACTGGTGGCCCGGAGGCCTTTCCAGTTTCACCAGGACAGGTGGGCGAGCAAAGGCTCAGTCAGGGTGGGATTTGCTAACAACTGCCCGAGCGCCTCCTCAGGAAACTGAATCTACTACCGGATCGGAATCATGACCCGCTGTGAAGACCCGGCGATAAACTCAGCGGGCTGATGCATGGGTTAGATTACACGACGATCTCTTTGTCGAGTAGGCATGTATAGAATTGAAAAGCGCCCGAGAAAAACCATAGAAAATACACATAAATTAGTTATACATAGTTTAGCAACTCAAGCACTCAACAAAAATGCTTACGGTCGTCGGCCACTAGATGGCTTCGCTTCGATTAGTTTTTCATTGCACCTGTAGATGGCAGTAACGTATTTTTTTATTTATTTTATTTTATTTTTAATGATTTTGTAAATTTTCAGAAACCACAAATTGATAAAATTTAATCAATTTTTTTTCCCCGTTTAGTTATACAATAATTGAATGCCTTAAATTTAACAACATATAAGTTTAGGGGCATCCGCTACAAGATGTCGCTAGTTTCCATAGAGAAAAATATTTGTTTTAAAGTATCGCAGTTCAAGGTTCTATGAAAAACTAAATGTCAAGTACAGCGACACGCTTATATTGTGACGGGTAACCATCATACAACGCAAGATATTTGACAGATGCCTGAATCTCGTTTACGTCATTTTCAAGATAAGCTTACATATATACATGTTCCGAACAACAACATTCGGACCGTCGGTCTACCGAGCAAATATCACCCGCTCGTTGGAAGTTCTTCCCTTTGTCGTATACCTACATAATTATATCGGGCACGTCACTAACTCTATAGTTTATTTTATTTTATTTTTATATTGCTTAGATGCCACCAGGTGGCGTTCCGCAAATGATTCGATTGTGATATATAGATACGGTCAACTCTAAGCAGTAGACGAGCGAGGTGCACTACCGCGTACCTTAAGGATGGCGGCGCACTCGATCATCTCCGTCATGAAGGTGCTGAGTCCCCTGCGCTCGCAGTCCGCGGCGCCGATGCGGGCGCACAGCGCGGCGAGGCGGGGCAGGCGCGCGGCGGCGGCGGGCACGGGGCAGCCCGCCTGCGCCAGCACCGCGCTCGCGCCCACCGACCGCATCCACGTCGACTTGCCGCCCATGTTCGCGCCGGTCACTATGTGCAGCATCACCGAGCCTGCAGGACGTATATATACGTACGGGAGAATCCACAGATATCACAGGGTAAATACCATTACGTTGACTCAGACTCGAACCAGCGTACTTCAATCTCAGAGCTCGGCCGGATACGAATACCACTTAGCTAATTTGACTTGTACCGGGTAAATACCGCCGCTCACCTTTTTTTTTAAACTCTTGCATAGCTTTTATCGCGGGCTTTGAGCGCGGCGACCGAACCAAGAAATTCCGTAACGAAAATAAAACCTAACAGCCCCCACTCGGCCTAACATGTAGCTCGCATTTAACACATTCACACGTTGCGCTTGTGTAGTGTTTGTGAATAGGCGTGTGGCGCGACGTCGCACTGCATGCACATCATGTAGTCTCCCATCTCTCTCGCGCGTTCTAGCTGAATGTGAAGGGGACAGTTAATGTTTTGCTTTTGTTAATGTTTATAAATATAGCGTGGTTTTATTTTATTATTGTTTTAATATTAAATTATTATTGTCCAATTATAATATAATTGCATAAGTTCATAAAAACATGCTATACAATAGCTTAACCGCGTCAGTCCCCGAGTGCTATTAGTTTTTTTTATTGCTTAGATGTATGGACGAGTTCACAGCCCACCTCATGTTAAGTGGTTACTGGAACCTATAGACATCTACAACGTAAATGCGCCACTCACCTTGAAATATAAGTTCGAAGGTCTCAATATAGTTACAACGGCTGCCCCGCCTTTCAAACCGATACGCATTACTGCTTCACGGTAGAAATAGGCAGGGTGGTGGTACCTACCCATGCGGACACACAAGTGATCCTACCACCACTAAAAATGTTAATACATAATTTTTTTTATAATTAGAATGTTGTTCTTGTGTTCCGAACCACACCTTGCTGTCCTTAGTTCAAATGTTTTTTGTATTTTACTTTTCTCTGAAGAAATATAGCTGCCGATGTGTTTTAGAAGTATGTATAATTTTATTTTTAAATTATAAATATTATTTATATTAATAGTTTTTATTTATTTAATAGTCTCACCTCTTTTAAATTCTACGTCGTTTGGTATATAGGACACGCCCTCCTGCACCTCCAGACACGGATGCCTCACATCCTTCAGGATGAGTTCGTCGATGGACTCCGTGACCACGGGCCTGCAGTACGGGTACGGGGCTGATGAAGCGGCAACAGCGAAAGACACCAAGACGTCTAGACGCGACAGTATGTGAGATAGACAGAACAAACATTCTGAATATCCACCTGAAATTATTAGGTATATTACATTTAAAATTAGGCTAAAATAAATATTAAAATACAAGATATATTAGATCTAATGTTCGCCCAGCAATTGAAATTCTATAATAGTCACTGGCTACTATTACGTTTTCTGCTAGCTTTCCATATTTATTATTTTACGATTTAAATCTAACGTAGTAAATAGACAAATCTTTTGACAAACAATGGAGCAAAGACAACTGTTTAGCCTTTGTCTATTTATATATGATCACAATCACTTAGCATCAGGTGGGCTGTGAGCTCGTCCACGCAACTCAGAAATAAAAAATGAAAATAGTTTACCAGCTATACTGACGATTTCTTTAACGACCTTATCTTGTTCTTTCTCGTAGTCGGTCTTGGCTTGTGTGTAGTCTTCATTAATTGATTCCAATGTATTAGTTCTGAATCGAACACCGCTTTTGACGGCGTCGATTATTTTATATTTCTTGTCGCCTCGTAAATTTCGTTCTTCTTTCAGAGTAATCCTGAAATGTTAAAGTACTGCACTCGAAACCACACATGTACCTACTGATGGAGTCATTATAGACATAAATCTGTCACTTTTTATATTTTAATTGAATTATTCGCTTTGAAATATGAGATCAAATTGCTTAGAAGGGTGGACCAGCTCACAGCCCACCTGGTGTTAAGTGGTTACTGGAGCCCATAGACATCTACAACGTAAATGCGCCACCCATCTTGAGATATAAGCTCTAAGATCTCAGTATAGTTACAACGGCTACCCCACCCGAAACGCATTACTGCTTCACGGCAGAAATAGGCAGGGCGGTGGTACCTACCAGCGCGGACTCACAAGAGGTCCTAACCACCAGTACCTAAACGTATACTACAAAAATAAAAACTGAGAATAAAATACGTACAGTCATTCGGCCCCAATTTAGGATTCCCTGTCTTATGGGTACTAGAGACTGACATAGATACTCAAAGTTTTTTTTTAATAAATAAATTTATAGATAATAAGCACCCAGATAAAAGCAAAGAAATCTGTTCGTTAAACGAATGCTTGCCCGATGTGGGAATCAAACCCACTACCCTCAGTGCAATAGTCATAGCCGCTAACCACTTTTTTTTCTACCTATTTTAGTAACCTCGAGGGCTTATTCTAGATTCGCCGAGCTAGTAGGTGAGCTCACGGGGCTCAAATCGGACGACGTTGCTAACACGAACCCAAGGAAGAGCCGTGCTTCGCAGAATCTACCACCGGATCGGAAACGCGACCCACTGAAAAGATCCGGCGAGAAACTCAGTGGGCTGTGTCTGTGAGTTAATTTACTCGTCGAGCCCTTCGGTTCGACGAGAACGATGACCGGTGCTTGAGGTACCTAAAAGCACCGTTAGTGGATCGGGAGGATCCGAAATGACGTGTTTTGACCGACGTCGCCACGATGAAAGGATTCTCGTGTCGTGTCGCTTTTTCGAAGTTGCGCTAACCACTGCGCCATCGAGCCATTCAGTTATATAACGCTATTTAAGTCAATAAGATGTATTCGATCTTTGTACATATACGCGAAAAAATATATATAATTTTTTAATGAACTTTTCAAGGAGTACATACCTGAAACAAAATCCATTCTGCGTATTATTTTCTAGTTTAATAGTTTTGCCTGCATCTAGTCCCAAGTCCCTCGCGGCCTTCCCCAGCTCCCTCTCCGCAGACGACTGCAGACGTTCCAGTTGTTCGTTCAGACTCTGCAGTTGTTCGTCGAACGACGGCTTCACTAGGAAATCGCCTAAAACAATTGTGATTAATTAAATTAATATTAATATTAAATTCTGGTACGACTACTTCGAGGAGTTGAACAATAACGCTACTGCGTTTTTTACCGTTTAACTTTCTATGCGCTGCTATTACTTAATCTATCAAAGGAATTTGATATTATCATCATCATCAGCCTATAGCAGTCCACTGCTGGACATAAGCCTCTTCAATTGCTCGCCACTGAGCACGATCCTTAGCTTCTCTCATCCAACTCCTCCCTGTACAGATCATTACTCCGCCGAGCCTGATATGATATTATTATGAATTTGATACGCTAGGTCAGAACAGTGTCGACGTTATCACTCACTAAGGCCCATAATACTAATAATAGTTTGAACTAAAGATCAACAAAACTTAGTTCATATTTGTTACACAGATTAAACTTCTTTTGTAATATCAATACGAAAGTAAAGTCAGTTTAGCTAAACTGAGATAACGTTTTGACGTGTGGCAACATTTTGCGTTTCATTGTTTTTAATCTTTAATCAGATGTGAAACAGGCAATATTCTACTATATTTGACAGGTGAATTGTTTTTTGAAACAAAAATTAGATATTTGAACTGAATATTCTCCGGTACGCCCTCTCAATTTTTTCAAAATCAGACGCGAATTGTTAGCAAATTTAATGAGGCAATATGGCAATATATTGAAAAATAAAAAGGCTCTGATGTTATAAATAAACAGATGAAGGAGACAATTTGGTCCAAAATAGACAAAAAAAAAAACAACATTTTGTTTAGTTTTATTTAGCCTTTAAATAACTCTATTTACTGATATTTACTTTACATTAAATTTACTGACATTTTGACACAAAACAACAGCTGATTTCGAGTGGCAAATTTTAAAAGAACAATTTAAAACTTACTCATAATGTAAAGTTTAAGTGTTCCCTTGTGGCCGTTTAAGCTTTGCAATAGTTTAAGCTCCGAAAGAGACTTTCAACTATGATTAAAATTACGAGTTGATCTTCAGTGACAGTTTAAGCCTTCCATTTTAGGGTAAGCTACGAATGATATTAAAATAAATAATGTATTTTAATAGTTCCTAGTGTGCATATTCATTAATATATACAATAATAATAAAAAAATCTTTTACTAAGATTATTAGAATATAGAAATTAAGAACCACCTCTTTCTACAGCACCCATGTCAAGTGTAGCTTCTATCATTTGCTGGAACTTGTCGAGGTCATCGTTCAGCTCCGAGATGGGCTCCGTGAGTGACGAATGCACTGTCGTATTTTCTGCTTCAGTGAGACATTGTAGCAAAGACGGTAACCTCTTGATTGCCTGTAATTAAATATAAGCCGCTTTGTGAAGTATTAAGTGATGACGGAAAGAATCGCAACTCGAATGCGACTAATGCACATGAGTTCTAAATCTCATTTTTATTTGGAAACTGGTACCTTTATATCATATATGAGGCCATCAGCGCAAAAGTGGCCTAACCCACAATTTTGTATATTCAAGCTTGTATGACGTATATTGCAGTTTATTTAAAATATTATAAATTTTGATGTAAAACGGGCCTATCCATAGTTTCGTCCATAGCTAACAGATAGCTTTGTAAACATTCTCTTGCGCGGATTGTTTTTTCGCTTACTCAAATTCAAATTCATGAAAATTCAAACCTAATTGCCTCTATACTATGATAAGCTTAGGCCACTTTTGCGCTGACGGCCTCATATGTACAGTCCGCGCGCGAGCCCCGAGGATTCGGGGGCTAGGGAAGCGGGCAGGCGTGCACCGCGCCCGCCCGTCGCTTCATACCCCGCACTCTCCCAGTACTAGTGTCGACCTTAACGTCAAAGTACGCTTACCGACTCGTTGCTTTTAATTTTGCGATAGCAGTGTTAATTACGTGTGATTTCTAATATAAATAGTCTTTTTGTTTGCACAAATAGCTATTTAATTTGAAGAAAAACGAATGGCGAGCATTAGCATAATAAACATGTCTTAGCATTAGAGGAACATTACTGGCAAAAGGATGGTTTAATGGAGGATGTTGTCGAATCATTTATTATTGAAGTACGCGAGGAGAATGACAATAGAACATTAAATTCTTCAACTACTGATTAATCTGATTGCGAGAGTAATTAATAAGATTTCACGTTCATTTTGTTCAATAAGTATCAGTTCATTAAATTAAACTCATACGTGATCAATTGTTTTTTTTATTTGAAGCACATAATACCGTCATAAAACTATTTTATAATTTACATTCGCATGGAGGCTTAATATGTGTTAGTATCGATAGCGCAATATCGACTAATTAAATCACTAGCTCATTACGTCAACATTCCTTAAAATTGCGCGCGGACTGTACTTTTAAAATGGAAATACTAGTGGTAGTAATAGTAATAACTAGTCTCGTACCTGATATATCTTATAGCAGTCGTGTAAATTAGCTTTCTTTCTGGCCAGTCGTCTGGTCAGGGCCTGTAGGTCCGGTATGCGCCGTAAGTGGTCCTCGTGCAATTGAAGCCTCAGCTGGGAGTTGTTCATGAGAAGTTCCACGACGTCTAGCCGCTCGTTGATTAGGTTAATGTCGCGGAGTGGTTGTCGCAGCCATTGAGCCAGCAATCTGAAATATTATTAATTATTGCCCATACAGCTTTTGGGTACATATAGCTGTATGGGTTAGCCCATGCATCAGCCCGCTGAGTTTCTCGCCGGATCTTCTCAGCGGGCTGCGATTCCGATCCAGTAGTGGATTCATTCGCGAAGCAGTTGCTCTTGTCTCATTGTTGCAGTAGGTCTCCTTCGGAGGCGCTCGAGCAGTTGTTAGCAAATCCCACCCCTCCTGGCTGAGCCTTTGCTCGCCCACCTGTCCTGGTGAAACTGGAAAGGCCTCCGAGCCACCAGTAATCTTTCAATCATCACTTAGATAGGTGGACGAGCTCACAGCCCACCTGGTGTTACGTGGTTACTGGAGCCCATAGACATCTACAACGTAATGTGCCACCAACCTTGAGATATGAGTTCTTAGGTCTCAAGTATAGTTAGCCTATAAGTATACCTATATCGCGGCCTATATGCCTATACGTGCCTATACAGCGTTTACAGGAAAATTTTCCGAGAAGCAAAATAAATAACGAACAGTTTTTTTACGCGCGGAATCTACTGAGTTTTCTTCGCTAAACATTGCGGGTACAAACGGGTATAAACAACAAGTATTAATACTCAGTTTGGTTTATTGCTGTTTACGCGTCGAACACGGACTATCGGTCTGTGCGATTACTTAAGTTATACCTATAGTATCTTGACTAATATATAAAGCTAGAATGGTTTTTACGGATGTTATGTTATAACTATTGAACCATGAATCCGATTGACTTGAAACTTGGTATCTATGTAGAAAATACATGTACTTAAAGGATAGGCTAATATTTATATGAGTGTTTGACTCCCTACAGCAGTTGCGAATGATGAGAATCTTTGTGGGGGTGAGAAATAATAATGTTAATTTTAAATGCCCAGCGAAGCGGACGGGTACAGCTAGTAATTGTATAATAACGGTGGGCAGCGGCTTGGCTCTGCCCCTGGCATTGCTGAAGTCCATGGGCGATCGACATCAGGTGGGCCGTACGCTCGTCTGCCTACTAGGGTAATAAAAAAAAGAAGTTTCACCTTTTGCCGTGCTGAGTCCGACACCTGTCCAGTAAACCGAACAAGCTTCTAGAAGGCGAGTTCGAATTGTCGCCCAGCTCCGGTAGTATGTTGAGAGCCGTCAGCGCCGCCGCGTCCAAGTGTAGGAAGCAGTCCGTTCGTATTGTGGACAGACGAAATCTGTAATATTACATTTTATCTATACTAGATGATGACCGAGCTTTGCTTCGTTTTTTTTCTTTGATAACGCCATCTTGTTGTGTCTTTAAAGCGGTTTAGTTGCCCTCAATTAAGAAAAATAGTATTATTATTCGCCAATAGATGTCGGGAAGAGTTGATTATTGACAACACAAATAAAAAACAACATTTTCTGAAAATAAATCGTAGCTAGATCGATTTATCGCCCCCGAAATTCCCTGTATACTAAATTTTATGAAAATCGTTGGAGCCGTTTCCGAGATTCAGATTATATATATATAGAAGAATTGCTCGTTTAAAGGTATAAGAAAGATATTAAATACGTGAAGCAAAAACTTTGTACTCCTTTTTACGAAAATTGCGCGGATGGGGGAGTGTGAAATTTCCCACACTTATAGAGAATATAGAGAAGAAATGCAGAATGCTAATATGTTTTTAAATTATGATTAAAAATACATTAAATCAATAAAGAAAACATTACACACACTACACACCCAAAATTTATTTATAATAAATTATTTATAATAAAAAAATTAAACCTAAAAAAATATACTTTATATACAAATTTTAATGCAAGATAAAAACAAACAGGAAAAGAACAGAAAAACGAACAGAAACTAGAAAGTCGATAAAGTAAATTGAATTTTAGAAATGCTTGTGGGGTCGCAAGCGTCTCGCAGGACGCGTGTTGCCCATCCTTGATCTATGCGATGCAGGGATAATACAAACGCGGAAAACTTGTAATTTGCGTAATTAATTTATCACTGAAACCACAAACAAAAATTCTAGTACTCCGAAATGGTTTCCGGTGGAAGCTGCGTGAACAGATGGCGACACAAAGCTGATTGTTTGCATGTTTGTATCGAAACTATGTTTCAATTAAAACTTTGATCGATAATATTTTAAATTTATGGTTGATAGGCTTTGACGTATTCAGGCCAATGCATGTTTTATTTTATTATTTTTGTGTTGAAGTTAAATAAATACAGAGATAACGCTAACCTTGACCTAAGATACGAGAACGTTTTTTTTTTCTATACATGACATTTCTGTACCAACACAAGTCGTGATTGATTACTGTAAATTCTTCACATTCAGATAAATGTTTTGGTTTACTTTGAGGACGAGTTGAGAATGAGGACGAAGTTTCAACTTGTGACGTCACAAATAAGAAAAAGCGTGTTCCAGTTTCTAAGGGAATTAAACCCATTTAAAACTTACTAGGTGAAATGTAACCGGCGAATCAGCTCTAGTACCAGATTGTGTTGATTACCAGATCTTTAAGATTATGAATACTACCGGTCACTTTGAGACGATTGGAACGACCGTTGACCAACGGAATTTGGTTATCAGCGTCTGGGAGTACTTTGTTTTTTACGTATGTCTTTTGAGATACAAAAGGCGTGAAAGAATAATTGAACAGCCCACTGAGTTTCTAGCCGAATCTTCTCAGTGAGTCGCGTTTGCGATCCGGTGATAGATTCTGCGAAGCACTGCTCTTGCTAGGGTTAGTTTTAGCAATAATATCAGGTTTGAGTCTTGTGGGCTCACCTACTTGTTAGGGTTGCGCTAAAATGGCCTATCAAGGCCATCACCTTAGATAGGAAAAAAAAAGTGAAAAAAAAAAATTAAGTGCTAGAACTACACGTATGTATTTACATATATTTGTTACGGTTTTAGCCCAGAAAAGGCTACAATTTTGAGGCAATGTTAAAAACCGACTCGTGCCTCATTACAACCGACTCAGTACCTCGGAGTCAGTACACAAAAGAAACTTCAGAATCAATACTAATGACAATACCTGACGATAAATATCACGCATTGACCTTTGAAAAGAGACAATCGGCTAATTTCGGCTTCTCTCTGTCTCTGTCGCACACTGCCTATGCGACGTTTGTCGGTGGTTGCTCAACATTGATAGTGTGCGGCCTATAGATACCGGACTGTCAGTGTTACGTGCGACAGAGACTCTTCGAAGTCGAAATAAGCAGATTGTCTCTTTCCAAAAGTCGATAGGCAATATTTATCGCCGGGTACTGTATATTGTACTGTACTGTATACTATACTATACTATACTATACTATACTGTACTGTACTGTATACTATACTGTACTGTACTGTACTATACACTATACTGTACTGTATATCGTTTATTACTATTTTAAATATGCTTACACGTATGGGGACGTCCATTAATTACGTGAGCTATTCCAGGGGGAGGGATCGAGCTAAGTCTTTCTAATCTCACCAGGGGGAGAGGTGGTGGAAAAATTCTCAAAAATGTCTCACGTAATTAATGGACTACCCCTACCGAGTACTTAGATAAAGCGTATACCTGCCAAAGTTGGTACTTTCGTTTAGTAAAGCACTGTACTTTATCGTGGCCGCTAAACTAGTCATGGCCAAGTCTTTCCTCGTCTCCGGGAAGGCGTTAGCGTCCTGCTGTTGATCTTCCTTGAAGTTTAACAATCTGTTCAAGTCCTGCACGAGACCTTCGGTCGAGAAGTCGACTCTCTTCAGTTTCGTTACGGTCACGTTGGTGCGATCCATTACTTTCTTCAAAGCTTTGTACTGCGAATAAATACAATAGAACCAGTTCAATGTCTTACTAAAAGATTTGTAGAAGATTTCGAAGTGTGTGATTTTAAGCTTATGTTTTAATATGTACAGTTACGTCAAGTTTTGATGTTGTAAATAAATCAAGTACCATTGTATATAAATTCTACGAACTAATACACATGGCGTATATTTCATTTTTTTTTTATATAAAATTTAATTACTTTGAGACACTTGCTAACAGGTTTTATTTAAATTTATCAAGGTTTAAAAATAATTACATACATACTCATATAAATGGAGATGAGGAAAAAACAACCAATATATACGGAAGAAGATTGAGTTACTGATATTAAATTTGTTTTATTTAATTACGCACCAGTGACCGAAACTGTCACAGGTTCGAGATCAGAAATGTCTGAATCTAAATGTTTTTAGAGTCCTATTCGGTTAATACTTTATTGGCAGTGGCATTAACACTGTCACTTATAAGCCGTCAGCTCTATAGACAGCGACTTGGGTGTGCGTTTCTGACGTTCATCGCGCCGTATGCTCGTTTGATTATAAAGGTCTCTATGTCAGCGGGACAAGGACTATATTCCCGAAAATAGCACAAGTTTTTGGTACTAACGTCATCATTATCCGAGAACGGTACAAGACATTCCGAAGGCGCCGTTTGGACGGTTATCGTTTCAAGTTGTGTCAGCAGATCGTCGTCGGTGAATTCTGAGACCGACATCTGATAGTCAGCAGCGACTACGCAAGCCACTCCCAGGAGCTTACCCTGAAAAGGAAATGTATTTGTCATATTATTTAACAGTCAAAGCATACAATATTATGGATGTTACTGGTGGTAAGGTCTCTTGTGAGTCCGCACGAGTAGGTATCACTGCCCTGCCTATTTCTGCCGTGAAGCAGTAATGCGTTTCGGTTTGAAGGGTGGGGCAGCAGCTGTAACTTTACTGAAACCTTAAAATTCATATCTCAAGGTGGGTGGCGGTATTAACGCTGTTGATGTCTATAGGCTCCAGTAACTACATTGACACTAGGTGGGCTGTGAGCTCGTCCAGTCATCTATGGAATAAAATGAAATAAAAAATTATTTACTTAAAATGGTCGTTGGAGCATGTCGATCCACCTTGAGATATGAGATCGAATCTCAATCTATTGTATACCAACCTACAGGGCTGAACTCAGGATTGCTTCAAGCATAAATAGGCAGCGTGGTGGTACGTACCCGCGTGAGCTCACAATACACCCCTACCATCAGTAAGAATATAGATACAAGACATTCCAGTTTTATTAGGACATTTTTCATTTATAATGTTCTTTAAAAACGATTTAGTGTAACATTAACATTGATTCATTGTTGAGTGCACTAACAATCGCGAGTTTACTCATAAATCGCACGGGAAATGCCACAGCACATAAATGAAGTAAGATTTCTGAAAAAATTATAATGTCATAATATTTAGTCACAATGAAGTCATAAATTCTGACTTCACACTTACCAGACGCCCTACCACCAGTAATAACGATAATTTAATTATTTTGCGAGATTATTCTCTATTGGACAATGTCATCCCTGTATCGCGGAGGTCGTTTGTGAGCACGTGTTAATTACGTGTTTTCTTATAATCCCGTTGTAATTATTAGAGCCGGTAGTATTTGAGCAGAGGCATAGGAGCATCGTTTGATAGGAACACATAGCCCGTTTTATCCTTTAGACGAATTCTAAGAAGCCCCTCATTTCCCCTATATTCACATAAATTTTTCAATCACGAAATTTGATAACATTCTGATAAAAAAAAGTTTTCATCTTAAACATAATTTACGAAAACCTCTTATCGATGTTTTACGTTGTAAATGCGTATTTATCTGAGTTCAAGAGTACTCTAATTATACACGTTCAATATAATAAGTAATTTTATAAAATGAACAAAACTCATAAAACACCAAAATGTATCGTCGTGTGATAATGAATTATTTTTAGTTTTATAGATACTCGTTTACCGTAGTGTTTTGATCACAGTACGATGTTATTTTGTATAATCTTATGTTTCGAATCGATTACCTACCGGTTTGAATCATAATGCAATGATTCTCAAAGTGTTGACATTAAACTGTGGGTAGAAAGAAGGATCGCCGAAAAAAATGGATCCTATGCGAAGCAGTCGGGAATTAATATGGTTTACGGACAAAAACTTTGGGAGCCTATGATAATATCATTGAATATAGAGAACGACATATGAAATATGCGGTGTGAAAGTTATCGTTTATTTTAATTCTACATATTTAGTCTCGACGAACTTTGGGATTTTTTGGCGGGAACGCGAGTATTTTGTCTATTTAGAGTTTCTTCAGGTTTAAATGTGTAATAATGGTGGTAATAATGGTGTTTAGTATCTGTCAAAGTGCACAAATGTGGGAAAATGAAACAAAGACGCTGAACGTATCTTCTCGGGATCCTCCAAAAAGTCCTACTGAAAAAATCTCAGTAAATGACCACCATTTTACTTCATCCCATATTATCTCATTTAATTTAATTTCATCCCAGTTCATTAATGTCTCAAATTAAACATCTTCATGTCATTTTATTTCACTCCATTTTATCATTTTTCATTAAAATAAGAATATAAATTAAAATAAGACATGACTTAAAGGTCTTAGTTACCAGGTCATAAGATCGCTTTAAAAAAACGCACCTTTGAAACCGGGTCGGTTTTTATATTAACCGCCATCAAGCATGGCGTGTTCTCGTCCGAGCCGCCTAAGCCTTCGCCAAGCACTTCCTCCAACTGCGTCAGATATCCCGGAGAGCCTTTGTACTTGAGTGACCAATCGCAGCCTTTTATTGATCCATCGGCAACGTATATTTCGACTCTGTAACGTCTCACCTGTAACGTTCGATTGAAACAAATTGTTTATTATACAGTTTCTGGACTCGAGAAGCAGATCTACACTCTGCAAATTTCACTTTTCGTCTTTGTCTAGAGGTCTCGTCATATAGGTGATTATTTTCAGATCGACCATCATGGCTCAAGAACCACAATAAACTTCGATAACTACTTAACAATTTTATCGTCTGCCCGTGTTTTATGCAAACGTATCTCTAGCCCAGTTGCCCAGTGCCTGTTGCAATAATATTACTCTGGCACCCGCTAGTAAATGCACGCTCAAAATGGATTTATAATGTAACAGGTTCGATAAAAGTAGGTAGGTAGTTTGGTAGGCAGCGGCTTGGCTCTGCCCTTGGCGTTGCTGAAGTCCATGGGCGACAGTAACCACTCACCATCAGGTGGGCCGTATGCTCGTTTGCCTACAAGAACAATAAAAAGAAAGCGCTGAGGTTGACGCTCCTAAAACTGCTGCCCCAGACTTTGTACACTAAATAAAGCTGCCTGTGGTCTTATACCTCCAATGTCAATGTACATAATAGTCTTACAAACAGTAATGCGTATTGTATTTTCTTTTAATCATGTTTATTGTCAAGAAATCACGTGTGCAAGAACGTTACTCGTTCGTAATTATTTTCTAAACACAAACAGCTCCCGGCATATTGTTTGTGCAATATCCGATCGTATAACGATGATACCATTTGCTTTTACAAATCAGCAGTCGACACTCGTGACCTCTAATGCGGATATTATATCGCGCGTAATCTCAGCAGCTACATAGTTCAATGTTCTTTACGGACGATTTCTCGATTTCCAATGAATTCATAAAAATACGTACGAGGTTTCTGGGTTTTTGATTTGGTTGTACTTTCGAGCTATTTTCCTTGATCCGTTAAGTGCTTTTTGATTTTTTAGTTCAAGGATTATTTTAGGTGAATTACCTATAAATGATCTGATTGTCACGAGCCCACTGTCTGCTTGATCTTACAATGAAGCAATCGCACGATCTAGTTTGGTGGATGGGATCGCTGTTATACAATAAAAATAGAGATTTCCACCTCATGTTTCAAGGTCGATGACAGCTTTGACGTTTTTAATATCAATGGACTCCGATAGCCTATTAACACTAGATAAACCATCGAGTCTTTCAACCGTCTGTTGGATGGGTGGCCAATTGATTAGAACCAAGATCTACTGTTTAATGAGAAACCCTCCCTCTGCGATCTACCAATGGCATTTCTTGAATTTTAGCGATACAATATAGTTCAGTATACAAATAGGTAGTATATTTTATTTAATTAAAAAGAAAAAAAACATAAAACTGAAATTATTTAATAAAAGAGAACTATTGCGTTAAGGAAAGGATCCGTAATGTGACGGAATAGCGATTAAGAAATCGAAGGGTGAAAGGATATTTGGTTTAAGTGAAATTTTTGCTACTTCACAGGAGTCATTTAAATATTAAAATTTGGAAAAAATATCATACTTAACAAAAAACTTCATCAGCTATTTCAATGGAGTAGCTTAATTGGAGTTCAATAATAATATCAAACTGTTGATGTTAATCTATTCTAATATATAAATCTACAGTGGTTTTTACGGATGTTCCGTTCCGTACTGAACCATGCATGCGATTGACTTGAAACTCCATGTAGAAAATATACATGTACTTAATGGATAGGCTAATATTTATTACAAGATGAAGACTATGTGCGCAGTAGTTGGTGATTGTTGCGCAGTTTTCCCTATGTATATATTTATATTTGCCTTGCCACCATCGACTGGACTAATAGCCGCGATCGACTGCTTGGTTACCCCGGATCTAGCGAAATTTAAAAAATAAAAAAAATTCATACGACAATAAATGTAATTCAGACATACCAATAACAGTTTCTTAATGAGAATTTCAAAGTTTCCTTTTGAAAGTACTAAGTAATCGAGGCGGTTAGGTTCCACTCCCATACGTTTTATGTTGGCCACGGACGAAAAGACCTCCCGGGCTGCAGTGGTCGCGTCAATACCGTGAATGCTGTAGTAGTCATTGCGGTCAAATACACGCACGGTCGTCGGTGGTTTCTGGAAATTGATCACTTATTAATAATTTTGAGAAGGTCGAACACTCGCGAGATATGATTCAGCTTTGTATTGATTTAACAAATATCTGATACATTATATACATAATATATACTTAGGTGACGTGACTCATCAACGCCGGACCTAAATGTTGAAATTTTGAATTATTTTTGTCCGTTATGATATTCGCAATAGACACTAGAATATATAACTAAAAACAGCATTTAATCTAAATAAGAGATGCATTTCAAATTCTACTTCAAAATGGAAAACAGTTGTGCCAATAACAACAAAAATAATAAAAAAAATTTTTTTTTGAAAATTATTTCTTGCAGTCGCTTATAGAAAATAACTAGTCAGGTCATAAGTATTGTCACACAGTAAAAACTTTTCTTTTAGAATGCTGGCCACAAAAAAGTTTATTGAATTCGAATTTCGAATTGTTCATGAAAATAAAAATGTATACCGTAAAATGGGGCGATTAGGGACAAATTCCAACTTTATGAGCAATTTTAAGGTAGTTGTTGATGTATATAATGCTATATCAGGATCAAAATGATTGAGTCTTGGGGGCATCTTTGTTGTCTAATTTAAAATTATGCAAGAAGCATTCCAGTTTAAGCAAAAAATGCAAAAATAGGTGTAATCCCTATTTACCCGAAAATTGCGGTTAATTGGGACGAAATGAGAAATTTGCTAGGGTTGGCGCTACTTTTATTTTTATATATAGTTTTAATTTATTTATTTATTTAGTTGTACCAACAAAGTGATCATCAATAAAAAAAATTGAAAAACTGACAAAAGTACATGGCAGACATCACCTCAATTATAGGTGCAATCGACAGTGCAGTAACAACAATATATATATTTATACATATATAGTGGGCTTTCTTAGAAACGGTTTATATTTCTCCGTTCTTGGTAAGTACTTAGGGGCTGATATTTCTATCTGGGTTAAGAGATTAGGTGTGTCGGTTATTCCATGGATTAATCAGATGAATACCCCCACTCTGAACAAATATTAAATATTTTATTATGTATTACTTAGACATTTTTATCCACCTTGAGATTTCATTGATCTTGTTACATGTCTCTACAAAATCGACTTACTATATTAAATTACTTATTATATTAAATTGCTTATCTATTTCAACTAAAGACTTATTCCCAATTTCGCTTCGATAAACCAGATTTTTACCAACAAATTAAAAAAATATTGTTATAACTACATAGACAACCCTACAAACCTGTACCTATACAACATGTAACATAATTAACGCACACCCTGAAAGTAATTTGTTCAGAATCGGAATCTGGATCGATTTTGATTGTTTTTTTGTACCAAATTTTTTTTCTAAAATTTTATTAAAACTAAGTACATTACAGTCACCCTACACAGCTAGCTAAACAATTCATAGAAACGAAAATGGAACGTAAGTCGGGGTTTTAAGACTTTTTAAAATGAAATATCTAGTTAGTAAAAAAAAAAAAAATATTTAATTAAAGAAATCTGATACTTATTTCAAGGCTAATAGTCTATTACAAAATAAAATACCTAAGCACACAATACCAACAGCGACCGCCGGCACACAGCAACACTACAATACATAAAAGAAAGCCACGTAATACAAAAATAATTACTATCCCTTTCTTTCGTCGGCTTAATAATATTCTTACAATAGACGGCAGGCTAATCCCGATGTTCGCGGCGACGCGGTTGCGTCGGCGGTGATCAAAGAAAAATCTAAACAACGAAGTCAAAAAATATTTTTGACAAGTCAGTCACGCCGCGTCCACCTTATCGTTAAGAGGTCAAGTGATAGTGGAAATAAAATATCTCCCGTATTTCGCTATGTCTTTTCGGTCAGTGGCCTCCTAGATCAGCTGATTTGACGTCTCTCGACTTTTTTTTGTGGGGGCGAATTAAATCGCTAGTTTATAACACACAGACAATAAGTGCCGAAGAACTAAAGAATAAGATAATAACCGCATTTGAAAAAGTGAAAAGTGACATGCAGTATTATCTAAAATAAAACAACAAATACGAAAACGGTCATTAAAGTGCATTGAACAAGGGGCGCGGCGAGTAGGTGTCTGTGTGTGCGTGCGCAGCTGAGTGTGAATCGGTGACCATTTTATTTCCACGAAATGGGAATAACTAATTTCACAAATAATCAATGTTAACGCACATATAAATAATATTTGGTGTATGCATAGCGTTTATACTATTAAAGTCTAATTGGGGTGTTTGAGGGTGTGCGTTAAATATGTTACATGTTGTATATACTTAGGTCGTTTCCTTTTCACGTAGTCTCATCCCAATTGACCCCTTTTTCGTTGTTATTTGTACCTGAGACGTCCCCATTATCCTCAAAAACAACAGATTTTTACATGTATTTTTATTTAATCAAATACATTAAAACCAATAACAACTGAGACTTACCTTTAATATATATGCTGGTTCAAACACTAAATAACGTTTATAAATCATAGTCGTCTTCTATTATTATCAAATAAATAAAAGAGAGCAAAGTTTCTAGCACTAAAATAATTACCACCACAGGAAGTTAATTTGAAACGCGATTTTTTATAAGTTAGCAGCTATTATCATGCATATTCAGAGTTGTTTTGTGAACTTTCAACATTCTACTATTAAACTACAAAAAAATGGAAGATTTTGCAACGAATATAAAACTTATATTGAGCGTCGAAAGATTTTCCCGGTTTTTTCCCGATTCGCCTTTCAATCCCTAATCGCCCCATTTTACCGGTACTTTTAGAATTTTACTCATTTTTAAATATGGAGTGGACGCTTAAAGAAGACCGTGTTGCAGTTATTGCGTTGCATCATTGCGGTTACGCGCCAATTCAAATTTTTAACATACTGAAAAATTTGAATATAACCAAAAGATTCGTTTATCGTACCATCAAACGATACAATGAAGACTCTAGTGTAGATGACAGGTCAAGAAGTGGTCGCCCTCGGTCTGTTAGGACTCCAGCAGTGATAAAAGCTGTGAAGGCGCGAATTCAAAGAAATCCCAAACGTAAGCAGAAACTGTTGGCCCTTCAGATGGGGTTAAGCAGAACCACGGTGAAAAGGGTGTTAAATGAAGACTTAGGGCTTCGGGCATATCGAAGAAAAACAGGACATCGTTTGAATGCTCGTCTAATGGACCTGAGACTGAAGAGATGCCGCGCTTTGTTGAAGCGGTACGCGGGAAAAAAATATCGGGAAATTCTTTTTTCGGATGAAAAAATTTTTACCGTAGAAGAGAGCTACAACAAACAAAATGATAAGGTGTACGCACACAGTAGTGAAGAAGCGAGCAACCGTATTCCGCGTGTCCAACGAGGTCATTTTCCATCCTCGCTCATGGTATGGTTGGGAGTTTCTTATTGGGGCTTAACAGAGGTACATTTTTGTGAGAAAGGTGTAAAAACGAATGCAGTTGTGTATCAAAATACAGTCCTGACGAACCTTGTGGAACCTGTTTCTCATACCATGTTCAATAACAGGCACTGGGTATTCCAACAAGATTCGGCGCCAGCTCATAGAGCGAAGAGCACACAAGACTGGCTGGCGGCGCGTGAAATCGACTTCATCCGGCACGAAGACTGGCCCTCCTCCAGTCCAGATTTGAATCCGTTAGATTACAAGATATGGCAACACTTGGAGGAAAAGGCGTGCTCAAAGCCTCATCCCAATTTGGAGTCACTCAAGACATCCTTGATTAAGGCAGCCGCCGATATTGACATGGACCTCGTTCGTGCTGCGATAGACGACTGGCCGCGCAGATTGAAGGCCTGTATTCAAAATCACGGAGGTCATTTTGAATAAACTTTAGTGTCATAAGAATCTATGTTTTGTTAAGTTCATTTTGGTATATGAATGGTTACATAATGAATAAACTTGTTTCAATTATTTTACATTAAACATGTGACAAAATTTATGACCTGACTAGGTATTGTTATAAAAATATAATAACCAATTTCTAACTATAAATACTAAAATATATTTTTGCAAGTTTGATATCTGCTTAAGTTCTATGTTATGTAATATTATCCTATGACTCAAATTTCAAGTTATCACTTTATCTATTAAAAAAAAACCGCAACAAAATCCGTTGCGTAGTTTTAAAGATTTAAGCATACATAGGGATATAGGGACAGAGAAAGCGACTTTGTTTTATACTATGTAGTGATTAGTATCAACAGTTCGATGTTTTTAATTCAACTTCAATTATGTTTACTCCATTCAAATATCAGAAAGAGTTTTTTTTGTTAAAATATTTTTTTCAAATTTTAAATTTGAAATGGCTCTCCTGTAAAGTTGCAAAAAAGTCGCTTAAACTTAATAGACTTTCATCCCTCGATATGTATAATATAAATATACAAACGAACCACATAATATACGATATAATATATAAAGCAGCACACAAAAACATTCAAATATACTGAAAAGCTTGGACATAATTATCATCATTATTCGACTTAATTTTACACATGTTGTATGGTATCGAGGTCAGTGATCTTCTTCTAAGAAAATTTTGCTAATGGTTGCCGTTGCGTATACTTTGTTTACAAATAAGATAATAGTATGTTTAACTTTTTTTACGCTAAAATGACGATAAATGAAAAATAATAATAATTTGTTTTTAGTCAATTCATATTTTTATCATCATCAGTCTGCAAACATTGACTGCTCCATATTTTGGAAAGGTTCGCCAGTATGACCAACCTTACGCTACCCGCACGCAGCAAATTTACTTCACTACTACAAACATGTGTCAGTCCACCATGTGGATAGCCTACCCAAGCTCTGCTTTTAGTGCGCGGCGTCCACTCGGTAACTTTTTTCCCCAGCCGCCTAGGAAAAAAATTGAACCTTCCCGACTCATCCCATGGGTGTCGTAAAAGACGCCTTAGGAATTATCCAGACAATGGCCAGAAACTAGCTTTCGCCGAGTCTTACACCAGCACAGTACAATAGCCAACATGTATACCAAGCGTGGTCATTATGTATATTCCTAGCTTTAGGTATGCTTCCTTGTCATATTTATAAGGACTAGTAATATACGTGTTTGCGTTTAAGCTGGTGGCTTATTTATAATATGTTATTGCCTAAACTTGAAAAATTTAGTAATATCTTTGATATTTATTATAAAAAAAATATTATTTAGCATTGAACTATTAAAATACAAAATGACTAGTGACAAGCGTCAACAATAGCTTTGTTTATATTAAAAGAAAATTATAAAATATAGTGATTTTACAATTTAAATTCGTATTCGTCGAATTCCAATTAAACGCGACACTAGTAATCTTAGTATGATAATAATTTAAGACATAAATATTTAAACATAAACAAGTAATTATGATTAAATTAATGCGTTTTTGAATCCATGTACATACGTATACATAGTTATGTAAGAGCTTACATACACAACATTTGTACTTACAGAAATTTGGAGATAACATTTTTAATTGTAAATCTTTGCTGATCGAAGTTGTAATAACAAACATGTTTTGCAAATGAAATTGAGATTTGTAAAATATAAAGATTACAGTTTAAATTAATTTAATTAAATTTTATCAGTGTTCATAAGAATTTGTCGTCGGATTGTTTGCAGGTTATTTTGATTTTTAGAAACAATTCAATTTTGCAAACATACGTTTTAAAGCATAGCAGATCAACTATCGGTTTAAAACAATGCAGATTCAAAATACGGGACTAGTATGTAGCCAAAAATATTCCTCATTATGATTGATTTCCTCTTCGATATAATATACATAGTAATCATAATATCGTTTGGATATCATCGTTTGTTTACAATACATTTGTCTATGAGTTAAATCTATTAACTATGCCTGTGTCACTGTCGGTTACTTAATCACCTAAAATTACATGATGGAGTCATACTTGATATGATTCATCTCTTAGCACAGTCCTTACGTTGACATTGATATTGTTGCATATTTTTTTTAGTTTAGTTTATCCGAACGTTAAAATGGATTATCCCCGTGGTCTGTGTCTATCATAGCATACTGAATGAAAAAAGTAAAATTTGGTCTATAGCCGCCTTTAAATATGAGCCGATATGTAAAAATTACGTATTTAATTGAAATGAATGCGCAGACAGGTAGCAGCATTTATAACTAATATTTTTATTTTATTTTACAGGAACGCGGCTTTTTTAGTGTTGCTTTATTTTATTGTCAATTGATCCTTTTGGTGTAAAATATGTTGTCTTTACCTTCATTGGAAAAAGTAGAGATTTTTAGAGCCCCACTCGTACGTTAACATAAATATTTGAATAAAGATTTGAAGTTAGTATTAGTCGTAGATGTATGCACTCCGGTAACCACTTAACACCAGGTGGGCCGTGAGCTCGTCCACCCATCTATGCAATAAAAAATGATAAAAGGTGGAATTTAAAGAGTTGAAGTTCTTATTTGGAGGAAATCGGAATGATAAAAAACCCCCATGAAAAATAAAAAAATAGTTGACAAACACCCCCGTTTAAGACCACCGTCGGAAGTTTTTCGCTGGCGATAGGGTGTCGATTTCTGCTATGAAGCAGTAATGCGTTGTGGTTTGCATTGTGGAACAGCCAATCGTATACTATACAATTCAGACTTAGATGTCTAATTGACTGATGATTCCTTGCTAACAAAATAAATATAAAATTATAAATTTAATATAAAATTATGAGCATATACGAGAGTATTTACAATTGATTGAGTTGATAGGATTCAAAAACAAAAAAAAACTCCACAAACTACATAGTTTCTGAGAAGTTCTCAATCGATAAGACACCCGTAAATGAAGCTATGAGACATACTGACTGCACTGAGTTACGTAAAACAGTATTTTTACTTTATTCGTGAAATGTTTAAATTTTTTTTTAATGTATTGATTTAGTATTATATTTATGGCCGTCGCAGTTCTTGGAATATACGATATTGCCGGGCGGAAGGTTATCACGCTTGAGACTAGCACAACATAATAAATTGGCGTCCTCAGATCAATCAGATTCAGTTCAATTTACGCAGCGTGCGAGCTGCCAGGGTTTGTTTGTGAATACTTAGCTTTATCTCAACTCTTAAGGTAAGCTCCCTCTTTTAAATATGATGTAATATTATTACAATTTCCGAATTACAAAAGACTACGACCTTTTTTTTAATATTATACAGTTTTGTTATATCTAATATATAAAATTCTCGTGTCACAATGTTCGTTCCCATACTCCTCCGAAACCGCTTGACCGATTCTCATGAAATTTTTTATGCATATTCAGTAAGCCTGAGAATCGGCTACTATCTATTTTTCATACCCCTAAGTGATTAGGGTTGTCCACCCCTAACATATTTTTTTTTTTTTTGGACTTTTTTTTTGTTATAATGAGGTATTATGTGGTTGAATGAGGTTTTGTTATTTTTATTATATATTCCCTCATCGTTCACAGCGCTACATGCCTCTTTCACTCATTTACCACATCCTTACAAACTTACAATAAGTTAGTTTTTTTTTCTACACTAGAAATTCCCTAGAAATCTTATATATGGCAAAACAATGTTTGCCGGGTCAGCTAGTACTTAATAAGATTTTTTTTAACATAAATCTAAACCACTATTAATTTATGTTTCGCAATTTTTTTAATCAAATCATTTTTTTTATTTTGTTGAAGTAACTTTGACTCATCAGTTTATCTGTCAACCGAGTTAATGCATTATTAACTATTTATAAGGTATAAAATAAGAGTAAGCTCTTGTAGTGCATTAAATAGTTCCGTAATTTAAAAAAATGAAATTACAAAGTGGTTGTGAAGAAGTGAAAATCCTTTATAACAAAATTATATTATTAATAGGATTCCTAATTTAATTAATATCATTTGTTGCTTGATTCTAAATAAAATATTACCTTTGAAGAAATGTCTTGTTCAAAGCAATATAAGTCAAAAGCATAGTTTCGTCTGGTACTTTAGTATTTCAGTGAGTCTTTGACATTTAGAACCATTTACGCGCATTATAGTAAGGCGGAATGCGTTTGAACAAATTCGCGCATTATTCAACGAATGGATTTTAAACGTTTTACTAGAGTTGTGGGCAGTTGAGTGAATGTTTCTGACACGATATCATAGATGTAGAATAATTGTTTGTTTTTAATTATACCAAAGAGGATATAACCACTACGTTTTCAATTATTATTATTTTATTTTTTGTTTTTTATTATACTACTCAGCGCAGCAACGTCGTACGTACCCTAGAGTAAAATAATTATAATAGTGAAAATAAATCGTTCAGTTATTTACTTCTGCAGGTATTAATTTACGCAATTTTTAAATCTCCTGAATAAATTTGATGGCAAATAGGCATAGGAATTTTATTTTCAAATAGTCATATTTTCTTTGGAATATATCTTCGAACTCTTTGTACAGAATATACTTTGTTTTCTAAGCTTTGAAATAATATAATAAGCTTAAACAAATGGAAAACGGTGAGTGTGATATAGTATAGCACATCAGACTATTTAAATGTCGAAGAAATATTTTGTGGAAAAAAAAAACAATTTCTTTAAAACAACTCGTATGACAACAGTAACTGTCTTACTTTGGTGATACTTTGCTAGAAATTTTATAGTATCAAGAGCAACTTTCAATTGAACACAATCAACGACATGCGCAGTATACGAACAAACAAATCAATGTTCATTTTTGTTATTAACATTGGAAATTGACTTATACGTTAATACATACATACTTTGCGGTGTTTATGAGCTTTAGTACCCATTTAACATCATGTAGTCCATAAGTACGTGTACTCATTAATATAAAAAAAAAATTGATGAATAAAACAGTAATGTCGAATGCATAAGTTGAACAATACAAGTGAATAAAAGTATGATTTGTAAACACAAATAAATGAGCAATGATCTTATAGCTAATTTTATAAGATAAGTTTTTATTTTTATTGCATATGTTGGTGGATGAGCTGTCGGCCCACCTGACGTTAAGTGTTTACCGGAGCCCATACACATCTACAACGTAAATGCCGCCACCTACCTTGAGATATATGGTCTAAGTTCTCAGTACAGTACAACGGCTGCCCTTCAAACCGAAACGCATTACTGCTTCACGGCAGAAATAGGCAGGGTGGGGGCACCACCCGTGCGGACTCACAAGACGCCCAGTAATTACGCAAATTATAATTTTACGAGTTTTGATTTCTATTACACGATGTTAATCGTGAACATTCATTAAGTACGTACATATTTCATTACAAAAATTGGTACTTGGCAGCGGGATTGGAACACCGGTGCATCGCCAGATACAAATGCACCGGACGTCTTATCCTTTAGGCCACGACGACTTCGAATGTAATGTTCTACAATCTATTGTATGGCACTACAAAGTATTTAACTGGTGGTAGGACCTCTTGTGAGTCCGCACGGGTAGGTACCATCACCCCGCCTATTTTCGCCGTGAAGCAGTAATGCGTTTCGGTTCGAAGGGTGGGGTAGCCGTTGTAACTATACTGAGACCTTAGAACTTATATCTCAAGGTTGGTGGCGCATTTACGTTGTAGATGTCTATGGGCTCCAGTAACCACTTAACACCAGGTGGGCTGTGAGCTCGTCCAACCATCGAAGCAATAAAAAAAAAAAATGGAATACTTACGTAGGCAAAAAAATAAATTACATTTTATGTATACCACTGCTTAGTATAAGAAGTAATGCATGCAATGTTTATTAATTTATTTGCTAAATTTTATTTTCTCTCATTTATAGTGTTTGGATAAATCAAAACCATGAGACGACTACTTCTGTTTGCCGCACTATCGGCGTTGGCTTTGGCCAAACCTGAACTTTATAAAGAAAAAGAAGACTTTCACTATTCTAGAAGTTCGTCGGACGAAGGTAGCAAGTCTGGATTTTATGGTGCGCAAAGAGGAAACATGGGGGGTAATTTTGAACGTGCTCACAACATGGATTCACTTGCTCAAAGACATTTGAGCGGCGCGATCTCACAAGTTGAAGGAGAGTTGGGCGAGGAGGGATCAAAAACCAGAACGGGTAGCGTGTACACTGCTGCAAATTCTGCGGGCTTTTATGGATCGGGAAATTATGATCTTAGTAACCTAAGGGGACGTAATTTTCAAGAAGGAACGTACCTAGATAATGCGCACTCCTCATTGTTATCCAACGCGCAATATAGTACGCAAGCGATAAATAGAAATTCTCATTATAGCAATAGTCAATTCAGTAATTCGAATTATCGAAATAGTCATCGTGCATCTCCATCTCAGTCACAACATATAAGTGACCTACAAGCTTCAGATGGCTCACAAGGTTATCAACAATTTGATTACGGAGGTCAAGCTGCAGCCGCAGAAATTTATTCCAAAAGCAATGGGCGGGTTGCCTCCGATCGATACAGCAATGATCAGAATGCCTACGACCAATACAACTCGAATGCACTTGCTAACAATGAAGCGATTATTAACATTGATACTAGTGTTCATAAGCCCAAACATTTCCAATCAGCATACAGCTATCATAAGCAATGGGAAAAACATGACACAAAACCATTAATCATATCAGTACCTAATAGTAATTATCCCAAAAATAATGATCTTCCTATTCCCGAAAATAGTGAACTTTATGAAGATGCAGTAGCCCAAACTTCGAATCAACAGTTTGAAGAGGCTGGATTCAATTCTCATAATCATGCTAGTAGTATTAACAGTGATTATAGTGGCCAATCTAAATCATCTAGGAACTCTCGACTAAGTTCTGCAGCTAATGGCGACGCATACAATCAATTGCTGGCAGTTAGTGATAGTAAACCAAAAACCTATCATTCTTCGTATTCGTATAAAAAGTCATGGGAGCGTAGGGGTGATCCTTATGTAATACAGCCTAGTGTAAGATCACAAGTCGATAGTGATTACGACGCAACAGCTGCACAAACATTGACATCAAATGCCAACCTTTTAGATTCACAAAGATACACGCACAACCAACATCAGTCACTGAATGCCATAAACTGTCAAATCTGTGATGAACATGGCTATATCCGTGTTCCACGGTCATATAACGTTAATCAGTATTTCGAACGAGCACAAAAACATGACGACCAACAAATAACACAACAGATTCAGAACTCTGATGATTTACAGCAAGGAAATAATCAATTCGAAACACTGGAAGACCTCGGTCAACAAACTCAAAATCAGTGGGACAACCTCGAAAATTTGGGTCAACAAACACAAGATAGCTGGGGTAAAGCTGAAGACTTAAGTCAGCAAACTCAAAACAATTTTGATAAACTTGAAGACTTGGGACAACAAACGCAAAACCATTGGGGTAAATTAGAAGATTTAGGGCAACAAACACAAAATCAATGGGACAACCTTGAAAATTTGGGTCAGCAGACACAAGATAGCTGGGGAAAAGCAGACGAGTTAAGCCAGCAAACTCAAACCAATTTTGATAAATTGGAAGACTTGGGACAACAAACACAAAACCATTGGGGTAAATTAGAAGATTTAGGGCAACAAACACAAAATCAATGGGACAACCTCGAAAATTTGGGTCAGCAGACACAAGATAGCTGGGGTAAAGCAGACGAGTTAAGCCAACAAACTCAAACCAATTTTGATAAATTGGAAGACTTGGGACAACAAACACAAAAACATTGGGGTAAATTAGAAGATTTGGGGCAACAAACACAAAATCAACGGAGAAACCTCGAAAATTTGGGTCAGCAGACACAAGATAGCTGGGGTAAAGCTGAAGACTTAAGTCAGCAAACTCAAAACAATTTTGATAAATTTGAAGACTTGGGGCAACAAACACAAAATCAATGGGGAAACCTCGAAAATTTTGGTCAGCAGACACAAGATAACTGGGATAAGGCAAAGGACTTAAGCCAGCAAACTCAAAACAATTTTGATAAACTTGAAAGCTTTGGACAACAAACACATCATCACTGGAACAGTTTTAGCCGAGAACAAAATCAACGTAAGTGATATTCCTGAAGATGATTCCTGTGAGATAGTTTGGTGTTGGTTATTTTAATTTACAATAACAAATGTACGCATTTTTTGACTAATCATAAATACTACTCTATTAAAAGCCTTTTACTAAAAGCTTCATTTAATCCATTCAATTATTGTTGATTATACGACTTATAGTACTATTAAATCAAAATCATAAAACTGTTTTCATGTTAATAAATTAACAATTTTACTAATTTTCGATTATTTAACACACCATTAATTCTGAGGGGATTGTAAAATCGAATTTCGCCGTTTTATTATTTTCTAGCGTTTGCCCGCGACTTCGTCCGCGTGGAATAGTTACTTTGGCATAACGCTAAATTTTACAGCATAAAAAACGTTATATTGAGCCAACAGTGAGCTTAACATATAGACATATGCTGTCCCGGACTTTTTTTTAGATCTTTTAAAGGGGAACAATTCTGTCATACATTATTTTAGCGAAACTTTAACCGTTTCCGCAGCGCACGCAGCGGAAGCTCTCAAAAAGGAAAAAAACCCAGATTTTGAAACATTATTTATTGGTGCTCTTATCTTAGCGTCATGTTATATAGCCTATAGCCTTCCTCAGTAAATGGGCTATCTAATACTAAAATAATTTTTCAAATCGGACCAGTAGTTCCTGAAATTAGCGCGTTCAAACAAACAAACTCTTCAGCTTTATAATATTACAAGTATGAGTAGAGATAATTAAATAATTAATGATAAATTCATTTACTTTTTTTGACCAAAAACAGATTCTTGGAATAAACTGGAGAATGGAGCATCGAATTATTACCATCAAACACAATATGATTTACAATCTACAAATAATACAGCAAGAGATAAAGTAACAGTTGAAACTTTAGGTCAGCCATACATTTTACCAAGTAGTAATTCTCAAATACCCAATGATAATTCACCTTGGAATAAAATTAATAATCTAGGCCCAAATAAATTCAATAACCCAAATCAATTTACTCAACTACATGTCAATGGCATGGACAGTAACCATCAGACTTTTACGCAAACGCAAAATATTTGGACTGTAGGTTCTAGGGGTTTGAACAATTATAACTCAAATACCATTCAAGTTTACTCAAACAATAGACCAAATCCTCAAACAAATTATAGTATAGCTAATTCTCAATTTGACACTAATGATAAACAACATGCAGAAACAACAGAGATCAACTGGAATTCAAACAGACAAACTGAGAACAGGGAAGCTAACAATCATATCAGCTGGTTAAACACAAACACATATAATCATAAAGCCTCACAGCCTGTATCTGGAAGTGATTCTGAACACACAAATGGCTTATTCAATTTATGGAATAAAGTAGAAATAATAGAAAAACAGTCAGGTGTTCCTAAAAAAGATAAAGATGACAGTGAAAAGGTTCATGAAGACCTTTTTACGAACTTAAATCAAAACCAAGGCTCAACTACTGAGAATACACAAAACCATAATTTAAATTTCTTTATAGAAAAAGAACGACAATTTACACCATCACATTTAAAACCTGATGAGCCTAATTCACAAACAGTAAACGGTACAATTTCAAACACAACCAAAAAACCAGTGAAAAACTATATAAGTGTGCCTGAAACAGAAAAATCTGATGTAGGTCGAGGTGACATAGGACCTGAAGATACTGTAATAACAGCTTCAGAAATCCCAAATAATGGTAATAATGAACCTGAAGCTATTATTACTTCCACTTTAAAGTCAACAATAAATGTGACCAACAAAAAATTAGATCATCAAAAAGAGTCAGATCTGAAGGTTACAAATCTGTTTATTGGTGAAAACCAAAAACACAAAATAGATAACTCTGATCAAGAACAAACTAATACTTTTGAGCAACAAAATGTGGATAATCAATTTGAAATTCAGGATAATACAGAATTTAATCAAAACACATTCAGTCAATTTCCAGATTTTAGTATCCAGCAAAGTCAATTAGAACATAATTTTGAACAGCTTGAGGACTTTGGTCAACAAAATAACAACTACCATCAGGAAATTAGTAGCTTTGACCAGCAAAATACAGATTCACAATTGGATATTGGTCATGAAGAAACAAATGTACAATCTCAAGATGATGGCAACCAATCTCCATGGAAAAGAATAGGAAATATTGAAAATGAACACAAAGTCTCAACATCTAATTTAGAAGTTTTGCCTGTTCAAAAAGAAATAAATCACAATTTTCAAGCTACTGATTACATTCAACAACAAAATAATGACCATCTTCAGAACAAGGACAGTGAGGGTTCAGAAGACCATAATCAAAACATCAATATTTCAACAACACCTGAAACAGTTACTGAAAAACCTGGCTTTTGGAAATCAGTAGGAAGTAAATTAAATAATGTTTATTCTTGGTTCAGTAGCAGTTAAGAATATAATTGAAGTGTGTGTTGTAAAATGTAAACTAGTCACATTAAAAAAAAAGTCACATTAAAAAAAGATTTAAGTTACACTGTAATTTATTATCTACCAAAATCACATTTGGTAAATATGAAATTCATGCAGGACACTGATGCAGATGAATACTATTTAAATTTTATACTTACGTCAGGAAGAGAATTAAAAAAATTCACAAATGCCTGCTGTTGCACAGAATCTGAAAATAAATAAAACATTTCTCTACTTTCTTTTATTAATAGACTGAGATATTCGTAGGATACCCTTAGCACCTTTAGTTTAGTAACATGTAATTAGGTATATGCTATAATACCTTCAGGATCATTTAGCATTATTTTATTTATTTATTTATTTATGTACACACAGAAAACAAGACACAGTACAGAGTAATAGGAAAATTATGTACAAAGGCACTGCTTATTTCTTTGAGAAATCTCTTCCAGCAGACCTGCGAGAGGATAATGAGATTAATAATAAAAAGTGATAAGTGTGGGTAGAACAAATAACACATAACTAAAATAACAAATACAACATGAGAATTATAGCACATACACATAGCAAATATTATAAGTAACACATTATTTGAGTAACTTACAAAACTTTGGTGTGGCACAAAAATTTTTTGTACTTTCGGTCATTAAATGACCTTTATATCAAGAGTACTTTTGTTAGCACTTTTTATTTAGTCTAATTAGCTAGGCGTTCCACATTCCTACAACCCTAAGCTAGGCTAATTTTAATTAGTTAATTTTCACCTGTGTTATGGATGCTAGAAACACACATAAGAAACAAGTGTGAAATGAGTATTACCATTCTTGAAAAAGAGCTTCATAACATATACTGAAGTCAACAGAAAAAAACAATGGTAGGAGTCAAAAGTCGTTAACCATTAAATTCATGAAACGACCTATCGTTGCAGTTTATCTTATTATTTCGTTACTCATAAAATAAGATAAACATTGCTATCATTGTATTTTAATAATCAATTTATGAATTCTTTTGTGCTTATAAACTATATGTACGTAGGTGCTTACCTAAGTTCAAGGCATGTATAGGTTGTAAAGAAGACATCCTCAGAATTGTATTTATTATAGTAAGCGAGTTTATAAAACAATAACCAATTTATTATTTACAGTATACGCATAATATCTTAGTATAGTTTTTTGAATCTATACAATGCCTAAAACTACGACAGATTTTCTAATAAAATTGTCAACTCGGTTCATATGTTTTAAGTGTATCATTAAATTCATTAATTTATTAATTAACCACGAACCAGGGATATTTGTTTGGCTTACTGGAGCGGGAAATCGTAAATCGTAATCCAAAATTGAGTGACACTTAAATGTGTCATATTGTGCCAGTAGGAAAGGCGATGGTATCGTACCATACACTCCACAGAAAAAAATGAAATATTAAATCTAATCCTAATCTTTGATTTTCTTAAATATGTCAAACCTATCTCTATTATTAATGAAAAGTTTAAGAAAAAGTAATGGGCTTTTAAGAACTGAAATAGATTAAGAGATTCAGTAAATGAAACGGTATAAAGATGAAATTAAGTGAAATAATTAAAAAAGTAAAATAATGGGAATTTACAGACTTCTATGAAATTTTAGAAGAGTCGATATAGTCTTATTTGCTCCCAAATCTGCCAGTAGCTCTGAGAGCTATTTTGACCTTCATGGAGTTGATACTGACATAATTTGCTTAATCTGCCCTAGCAAGAGCAGTTCACTGAATCTAACAAACTAATTTAAAATCTTGCTCCACTGAGAAGACGCGGCGAAAAATTCACTGGGTTCGGATTCGTCTTAACCAGCATTTTAATAATAATTTCATTTCATAAAATAAATATAAAATGGTATGAAACCTTTGCCTTTCCATTTGGAAAAATAAATCTACTACTACTGTTCATAGATTATACTTTTTTTATAAGGTTTAATGTTCATGAGTGTTTCGTGGGTTACTTTGGAATAAAACGTCGAATAATCGTTCGAGAGGTTTAATGATTATGATTAACTTTAAAACAAACACTTTAAATCAATCTTACTATAAGCGCACGCGCACACACAAGTCGCAACAACAATAATACTTATAATACAAAAAATGGAGAACGTTTCAGCGCGTCGGCGTCAGTCCATCATGCGCAAGCGCAGTGGCGGCTTGCGATGGCGGCGCGGTCGCGGACCAATCACGGCCGGTTGAGGCGCGTTCCGAGGAACGCGCTGATGGGAATTAAGGGTGCGTTCGGAAATGTCCCGTCGCGTTATAAAGGTATTTTATGACCTGGTAACTGAGACCTTTAAGTCATGTCTTATTTTAATTTATATTCTTATTTTTATGAAAAATGATAACATGGAGTGAAATGAAATGTAATGAAGGTGATTAATTTAAGACATTAATCAACTGGGATGAAATGAGATGATACGGGATGAAATATAATGTCAGTAAAATTGTGGTCATTTATTAAGATTTTTTCAGTGGACTTTTGGAGGATCCCGAGAAGTTACGTCCAGCGGCTTTGTTTCATTTTCCCACATTTGTGCGCTTTCACAGATATTAAACAGTTAATAAACCACAGTTATTACATATTTAAACCTGAAGAAACACTAATTAGACAAAATAAAACAAATCACACAACATCACTCCTCGCGTTCCCGCCAAAAAGTCCTCATAATATAAACACATTATTTGAGACCATAGACTAGACACTTAATTTGAGACTTCTGACATAATATCAGCATTATCAGCATTCAGCACCTGCTGCTGCAGCGTTAAGTTGTTTGTGTTGTTAATATTGAGTTTGTTTTCATTTATTATCGTAACTAAATAAATATTATTGTTTTAGTATATAATGTTACTTTTCAAGTTTGGGCTAATCATTTTATTTTCAACATTTATTACATCGTAAGTGATTAATGAAATCGTTTTCTGTGATTGTTTGTTGCATAGCCTTTCTAAAAATGATCAGCCGTTTAATTTACAATATTGTCGATTATATCAATCAATAGACCAATGATATGTACAAAGCATTTCTGAAATGAAACTTTCCCACTTTTTCAAGGAATTTTAAACAGATTGTTTTCATATTTTCAGAATTTGTTTTCAAATACTTAAAGAAACAAATTCCTTGGATATTGGCCTTGCTTTTTTGTACATTGCCAGTGGGGCAATAGGTGAGAGGAACTTATTTTCTTACTTACTTAATTTAGTCTGTATAGTAGTCTGAATAATGAGTGTTTGTTTCTAAACATGAATTACTTCAATGTCTTCCAAAAACAAAATTGCAAACACTGAATAACTGAGTGATGAAAATTTCATATTTAAATTTAATAAGTAGTTTCAATAACAAATATTTTGCTTAAGTGTCTTAGCCTGTTTGGTGTTAATGGTTATTGAACCTCATAGAAATCACAATATGAATTCCACTGACCACCTTGGTCATGAGCTTGAAGTCTCCATTGTAATGTAACCCTTCAAACTAGAATCCATAATTGTTGTGTGGCTTAACTACCTCCCTGCCTACATACTAACCTACTCGAAGTATGTACCCATATAAGCTTAGAAATTGCCTTATCAATAAAATTTATAACTGAAAAAGAAATATATAAATTATAAATAAAAATACCACCACCACATTATAATTTTTTATAAGGTATAATTGATATCATCTGTCTACATTTTGGTAAATGTGCCAATAGATTTTGCAAAAAAGTTTTTTAGTGAGTGACTAATGAATGCTGAAATTGGCTTGAGTTTTTAACAAATTTACTTCTGAACTAACATTTCTTTACAGCTGGCAAAATCATTTATGACAGATATCAGCAAATTCAAATACTTGGTTCATTAACACCAAATCCAAATGTGACTTCCTTTGCAAACAGGATTGCTTCCTTTTCAGTCTCATTTATCTATTTGGGCTTTCTGATTTATGCATTTCTATTTTTATTTAAGGTAAGATTAAAATCGTAAGACTTTTTTACATTCATCTTATTAGTTTGTCTTACATCTAGTGATGATCATTATACTAATAATTTAGAATTATGATTTAGATTTTTATCAAATTAGTTGTGGGGTGCCTGCCTAGAATGGCATCATTCTATCTACCCATGGGTTTCATAAAATATAACTATAGGATTCCTCAAAGTACCAGAGCTATCTGAGTATTATACCAATGTACTGCTATTGCCTATTGACATTTACTAGTGGTAAAATGTTTGACTTAGTTTGTTGACTTAGTTTTTGTTTTTTTTTATTGTTTAGATGTGTGGACGAGCTCACAGCCCACCTGGTTGTTAAGTGGTTACTGGAACTCATAGACATCTACAAAGTAAAAGCGCCACCCACCTTGAGATATAAGTTCTAAGGTCTCAAGTATAGTTACAACGGCTGCCCCACCCTTCAAACCGAAACGCATTACTGCTTCACGGCAGAAATTGAGATATAAGAAAGAGGTCTCTGGAAGCTGTAACATTTGGTAATTCAGTACTCATCTCATGCTCACCTGCAGCAATGTAAAATGGATTTCCTGTGTGCTTTCTCTCATAAAAGTAGCATAATAATAATTGCACACAATAATACAATAACACAATAAGAAGCTATTATAGTTACTTAATATTTCATAAGTTGTTCTGGATTTCACACCTCCATATTGCATTGAGCAATTCTAATATTGCAGATGGCCAACACTTTGTGTAATTTTCATGTTATATAATCTTAGTTGCTGAATTCTGTAACTAATCCACTGACATAGTTGATAATATCTTTTCAGGTTGATAACACTTTCATAATAGCACTTAATATTTTTATATGTGGATTTGGCACGTTATATATATGGATCCAGGTATGGAATATTAGAATTGAATTATTTATTTATTAAAATTTGATTGAATAAATTAGATTTTATAACATAATTACATTTCCAAATTTTTTTTACTTGTACAACATTGTTTTAATTTTATAATCATTATTGAAAAGTGGAGTTGTTTTTTAGCACAAGATTGTTTATTTATTTCTATAGATAACATGGCTTGCTTGGTGTGATATAGCCAACCTCTAAATATTCACCTTGAGGCATGAAGGATGAGTCTAGTTTTGTTTTTCGAATATTCTTTAAGGCCTTTCAAATTGAGATACATGCATACTCGAAAATTCTTAATGTAATGACTTAAGGTTTTACTTTAGGTTTTTTTTAAAATACGCAATGATAATGGAAATAGAGGCTAGTAAAGTAGTTGCCGTCAAAGGGCAGCTATAAAAATATTTATTTTCATTTTTATTTTCAGTGCATCATCACAACATATATTTCAACTCTATTCTATGATAAATTTTTACTATTGCTTCGGCAATGCCTTGCCAAAGTGAGCTTCCTAATAATAATTGTTATGGCAATATTTGGGACCATGGCATCGACTTTACCAGCAGGTAAAATATTTTTTTTTCGATGGATCTATTCCTTAAATTTATTTAAACTGTTAATGGAGATGTATGGAAATGGTAGTGCAAGGTAGAGGGGGAAGAGGTCGACCGAAGAAGACATGGATGGAGTGTGTGAATGACGATATGAGAGAGAGAGGAGTGAGTGTTGAGATGACGGCTGATAGAAGAGAATGGAAGAGAAAAATTAGCTGTGCCGACCCTGCCTAGTGGGATAAGGTGGAGAAAAAGAAGAGTTAATATTGAAGCAAAACATGTTTCTTAAACAGGTGGTTCCGGCGTGATTTACTTCTGTTATATAACAACGTCCCTTTGCAGCAATTTGTCGGCTGCAATATTCTGTGTATTCATTCTTACTTTTCAAAGAGAATATCAGTATTTTTCCGAGGTAAGTTTTACTGTAACTCAAAAGGTCTTAAGTAGTGTGTTTTAAAAAAGTTGAGAATTAAACAAAATGATTGCAACAACAATTATTTCGTTCGTTTGAAATGATCGCTCTTCAGTTTAAACGTCGTTATTGCCAACGACAAAGACACTGGGCTGTGGACTCATAAATAATGTTTCTTTTTGTTCCTACCTAATCCTTTTTTTTATTGCTTAGAGGTGTGGACGATCTCACAGCCCACCTGGTGTTAAGTGGTTACTGAAGCCCATAGACATCTGCAACGTAAATGCGCCACACACCTTGAGATATAGTTCTAAGGTCTCAGCATTGTCACAACGGCTGCCCCACCCTTCAAACCGAAACGCATTACTGCTTCACGGCAGAAATAGGCGGGGCGGTGGTACCTACCCGTGCGGACTCACAAGAGTTCTTACCACCAGTAATTACGTATTGTATGTCGCAATTATCAAGTTTCAACTAAAGATTTTATTTGTTAATTTTCAGGGATTGCGATCGGAATTACTGCTCGATGACGGCTGTTCTATGAACAATGGGTCATTGTCGGACATAGATAGTCTATTTGGTACTCAAGAGTTCACTTCTAGCACTGCCGTTATAAAGGGCAGCGTTAGACGCGGTAAGAGCTCTTGACCAGAGGCCGTGCCCACTGTGGGCACGTTGCCAACAAATGCGAACCAAGCTCCAAACTCACCTTCGTATGGTAGCTTCGGTAAAACGAAAGTTATAGTGATAGAGAACAAGACTAATAACAATGAATGTCTCCCCGAAGAAATAGACGTTGTCGAGGACAACGACAGCGGCATGTCTTCGGTAGATAGCAACGAATCTCTCAAAAATAATTTAATTAATAAAAATGTTAGTGAAAATTTATGTTCAACAAGCAATAATGATTGTGAAGTTAAAACTAAGTGCCTAACTAATGAATCTCAGCGTGATGTTCGATGGAATGAAATTCCTAGTTGTTCGACCGATTTTAATGATTCGAACGTTCTCGAAAACGAGAACGAAAAGACGCTCTCGAACGTCTCTGACGGTGCGGACAGTGAAAACAATCTTCCTGAATTTATTGTGATAGATTTGAAATGTGATGTTAATGATAATAAGTTGAGTGACGATGATAGTAACGTAGGTACTAATGAGAGTTACACCGATCCTGATCGTTCCGGTATACCCGATGTAGATACCAATCAAAGTTTAGTTCCTATAAACAACGAAATCGCTAACACTGAGAACGAAAAGTTGCTCAGTTTGTCTCTGTCGATACTGCTTGCCGCGTTGCTGCAGGCGGTGCGATGTTTCGCACAGTTCTTAGAGGACATTGTTGTTCCGCAAAGATAAATAAATTATTGTGTTCTTTATTTGTCATTTTTGGTGCAGTATTAATTAATTAATCATAAATATATCATTATATTACGACGTCGATTATATTATTATATTCATTTATTATCTTGTTAAAATTGTTTTATTTTTACAAGGATTGTGGGTAGGTAATGAAAATGCAGTGTTCATAATAATTTTTAATAAATTACATCATAGTACATACACAAACGCTAGTCGCACACAAAAATAATTTAATGAGGTTAAATAGGTCGTACACTAGTTTATTACTATTTATTGTCTGAGTAATGTTTCACTACGTTTTAAAGTGACGCCTCGTTGATCACCGTAATCAGTCTGTTGTTTGTGTTGTTATGGCACTTTTTCTTCCATTTCGCGTTCTTTGAGTTGTTCTCGGGCGATTGTTCTTCGTGTATAGAAGATGGCTGCGGAGGGGAATTCCCGACGACGACGGACCACCGCCTCCCGCGACGTTCGTTCAAATTCGGCAGTTCCGCTATCAGATTGTTTTCGTATTCGCTCAACATCAAATAGTTTTCCACCTGAAAAGAAATGAGGGTTTAGGTTTTGTGATATATGATTTTTTTTACTGATGGTGCGGCATCTTGGGAGACCGCACCGGAGGTAAGTACCATTAGCCCGCCTATTTCTGCCGTGAAACTGTAATGTGTTTTGGTTTGCAGGGTAGGTCAGTCGTATTGTTAAAATTGAGATTAAGGACTCGTGTCTCAAACTGAGTGTCGTCCAACCCATCTTATACAAATATACGTAATCTTATAATACAAAGTTTATTACTGAATAAATTCTCGTTGTATAAGGTAGTTATATCTGGGAAAACATGTAGGAAATTACTTTGTTACATTCTTGTTAATTATTACTTCAACATATTTGTCATCTATGTGTTTTCGAGTTCTTTTTTCGTCGACTATCAGTTAAAAGACAAAAAACGAAGATATTTTATTCAGAGACTAAATTTTCTTGAGGTACGTTTATGTGCTATGATTTCGTTAACAGCATCACAAGAAAATGATAGATAAAATTACTTACCTTATTACAACTTGTGATACAATCGCCACCGCAGTCCAGGTCTTCGAGAAGGTGCTCTGGGATCTCCAAATCCAAGTCGAGATCAAGGCCACCTTCTTCGCTGATGCAGGTTAGTTCAGGAGGAACATTAGGTGGCGGTGACCCGAGGCTTCCTGGACCTATGCTATCTAGTAGATCTCGACCGGCCCTATCGGGGGCTATCAATTCTGCTCCTAGAACTATAATTTTTGTGACTATTAGTGACTATATTAGTGTTTCGAAGCATCACTTAAATCCCCTCTTTCAAAATTGCTGCGCAAACTATAAAATACGGCTCAATTCAATTCCACTACATGTGACGTCATTTGGGGCTAAATAATTAACAAGCTTATCGTAAATTATACTCTACATAACAGTTCGCCATAAAAGACATGGGTGTGATTGATATTTAGCTTGAGAAAAAAATCTTAAAACACATCTCACAAAAATATCGATTGAATTATGTTTTTAATTTAGTTAACATCCCACAAAATTATGTATGACCGTTATATTATTGGGTGGTCGGTGCCTATTAGGAAGGTAAAAGTAACCAAAATAAAACCACACCATACTACAAGCGACGCTCTCTTGTATTCATCCTTTTTAGATGGGTAACAAATGCAAACTTTTATGATTTCAAACATATCGAATTCAAAAAGAAATGAACAAAAATATCGTATAGATAATGTATTGTATCAAGCAGCTTGATATTTGTTGTACATAGTTTCATATATGGTTTTATAGTTACCTAAAGCGGTAGCAGCTCCCACGGCGGTGCGCGGTTCTCGCTCGCGGCTGCGACGAGGTCCACACGCCGATTCGCATGTAGCCGTACCGCCATTTTCTCTACAAAATAAAATAAACCAAATAGAGATTCCATAGCTTGTTTCTATATTCGCATAGGGACAGTCTGTCATTACTAGAATGTTCTCGTCGAACCCGTCGTTTGCGACGAAAGTTCGGCCACAGACACAGCCCAGTGATTTTCTCGCCGGATCTTCTCACGAGACATCGACATATCTTAAATGGATGGCAAGACTAAATTTATGATGTCTATGAACTCCGGCAAGTACTTAACACCAGTGTGCTTAGTGCGAGTATTTTTAACGTTCTCGATAGCGTAAAAGTTAAATGAAATTTGTATGCTTTTTTTTTTTTTCCTACCTAAGCTGAGAGCCTTGAGAGGCTATTTCAGCGTAACCCTAATGTTTGTAGGTGAGCTCACGGGGCTCAAACCTGATGACGTTGCTAACACGAACCCTAGCAAGAGCCGTGCTTCGCAGAATCTACCACCGGATCGGAAACGCGACCCACTGAGAAGATCCGGCGAGAAACTCAGTGGGTTGTGTCTGAGAGTTAATTTACTCGTCGAGCCCTTCGTCGCAAGCGACGGGTTCGACGAGAGCGGTGACCGGTGCTTGAAGTACCTAAAAGCACCGTTAGTGGATCGGGAGGATCCGAGATGACGTGTTTTGGGCGACGTCGACTGCTTTCCATTCTGTCCGCAGGATCGGGAATGTAGTTACCGGCGGCCACGATGAGAGGTTTCTCGTGTCGTGCCGCTTTATCGAAGTGGTTTTGTATGCAGTTGGATCGTTTGCCTACGGTTGTTGCTAGGGGCGCTGTTCTAACTGCATACAAATTTGAGTCAACGTTTACGCTATCGAGAACGTTAAAAACTCACACTAAGCAGTCAGAGGAGCCGGGAACTCGTCCAGTCATCAATTGAATAAAAGGTTTGTAGTGTTGCCGTGTTAGGATAATACACTCATTGTGGAAGCACGATGAGAGAGTACAATATTGTTTGCATACTTGGTGTGTTTATGTGCGACGCTGCGACGATGCAGGTCTATACAGAAGAGAGACAGAGAGCCGATAAGAGAACACGTTGAGCTGAAGTAATAGCCCGCCTTGCCGCCGCAGCCTACGTTAATGTAACCTGAATAAAACGAATAATTAGTACACGTTCAATTAAAAAGAGTATTTTTCTTTTCTTGAAAATTGAGTTACGAGGTTACCTCAGGGGACCAGGGGATAGGTATCTGAACAGTCCTTAAAACACTAAGCGTGTATTCTGTTACTCGTAATATCAATCAATCATGGGTTAAAAGATTTTGCATACTTTACACATCAAATTTTAAAGACATTTATGTAATCATAGAATTTATTGTAAGCCTTTTTTCTTCTTTTAGATAGCCGAGTGGGCTAACGTTTCGCCTGGTGTCCAATAGTATCTATACGTCTACTCGTAATTGGAATAGCCCTATAGGCTACCAACGATTAGATAGAGAAAAAAAAAAACTCACCCGGAGAAACTTTTCGTTAATACTACTTATACGGCCCTACAAAGGCATCTTTTGAAGTATTTTTTTCTTCATGGCAGTATTGGGCTCGGCAAAAGAAGATAGTTTAAAAAGGCAAACCTGATAAAGGAACTCCAATAGCAATGGGCACCGCTTGAGAGCATTGCACGAAGCCCCAAGTTCGTGCAAAATTTCGCGACCTAACTCTTTCGTAGGTATACATCTTCAAAGAGTAATGGTAGCCACCGCAGAATATTCCTAGAATGTACATAAACTATTGTTAAATTCGTTAATTGAATGAATTTAAAAGTTTTTGTCCTTAAAGTACGTAGTGAATGTATTTTTAATCTTTTTATATTCGTCCTATGTAGGACTAGTGAAAACTAGTCAGGCTTTGTTGTGAGTAACGGTAATTTTTTAAATACAATTTTTTTTAAACTACCCTAATGCCAAGTGCCATATGTTGTACGTCGATAGTACTAGGTCAAAAACCTGCCCTAAAATGTCGACAACTTTATCAATGTCTTTATCCAAGACAAATATACAAATATTCAAAGAAATGTTTCTAATTTAATTTAAATTTTTTAAATAGTACAAATTTTAGTTGTTGTAGGCATAAATATGGCCTCTTCTGTGTGTGTACAGTAGGTACCTTATTTTCTGCATAACTCTCCTCCAATCGTAGTTATCATTAGTAGTGAGTAGGACAGGGGTGATTTTTTCTGTATCTAGGAATGATTCAATAGAGAGAATGTCGGATTCAGCCGATTGATTAAACTGTAATACGTGACTGCATCGAGGCCAAAGTACCAAATAGCCCGGACAACACCATGAATAAGTGAGAGTATTCATAATTTTTGCGGGATACCTGTCTCTGATTATACCCACAGTATATTCGTGTGGTTTCGAAACGGCGAGAAATTGATTCATTTAGCATACGAGAATAATCTGAAAATATTGAACAGCTATTATAAAAATCGACCAAGGAATAGGTGGACGTGGACATCTCCAGACGGTCGTTACAAAAATGAGATAGATTACATTCTCTCGAATCGAAGTACAGCTTTTCAAGATTGTCGAGTTATAAATAATTTAAACTTTAACAGTAACCANTCCATTTCACGTATTCTCATCCCAATTGACCCCTTTTTCGTTGTTATTTGTACCTAAGACGTCCCCAATATCCCCAAAAACAACAGATTTTTACATGTATTTTTATTTTATCAAATACATTAAAACCAATAACAACTGAGACTTACCTTTAATATACATGATGGTTCAAACACTAAATAACGTTTATAAATCACAGTCGTCTCCTATTATTATCAAATAAATAAAAGAGAGCAAAGTTTCTAGCACTAAAATAATGACCACCACAGAAAGTTAATTTGAAACGCAATTTTTTATAAGTTAGCAGCTATTATCATGCATATTCAGAGTTGTTTTGTAAACTGTCAACATTCTACTATTAAACTGCAAAAAATGGAAGATTTTGCAACGAATATAAAACTAATATTGAGTGTCGAAAGATTTTCCCGGTTTTGTCCCGATTCGCCTCTCAATCCCTAATCGCCCCATTTTACGGTAGTGAGAAGTCAGCACCTGAGTAATTTCATTAATGAAAATAGAGAAAAGAAGAGGAGATAGTACGCCACCTTGAGGTACACCCGCAGTTAAAAATGTTTTTTAATTTAATTTTTTAATTATTAGCAATTTTGGTTATTGTAGGCATAAACACGGCCTCTTCTATGTGTGCACAGTACCTTGTTTTCTGCATAACTCTCATTGAATCCTATCTTGTAGTTAGTAGGACAAGGGTGATTTTTTCCGTATTTAGGAATGATTCAATAGAGAGAATGTCGGATTCATCAGATTGCTTAAACTGTAATACGTGCTGCATCGAGGCCAAAGTACCAAATCGCCCGGGCTACACCAAGAATAAGTGAGGGTATTCATAATTTTTGCGGGATACCTGTCTCTGATTATACCCACAGCATATTCGTGTAGCTATACCAGGTTTTATAAGTTCACAAATCCTATTTTCACGTTTCTATTTGGAGTTTTAATGAATTCTCTTACCGTATACCCAAGCGAACATAACATAGCCCCTATAGGATCCTTCGACAGCCGTGAGTGCCATAGTGGCTAGTCCACAAACGAAAACAGCCGCTTGAGTAAGGTACTGCCTAGCGATTCTGCATTCGGCCGAGTTTTGTCGGACTAGCAGGCCGAACGCTGCACAGCCCACTGCCCAGGCGAGTCCCAAATAAGCCTGGAGCAGTTCAGCTGTGTCACCTAAACCTGAAAATTCAAATTTTATTATCTAAATTAGCAATTATTGACACAGCTTTATACATTATTGCCTTGGTTGATAAAAAAAATCTCAAGTTTGCTATTTGCCGCCACCCACCTTGAGACGTGAGGTCGAAGCCTCAACTGCATTGTAGATTTAAAGTTTCATGGTAGAATGTTTCTACTGTAAGTTTTAAATACTTACAGGAATCGGTCGACTCTATATATGTAGGTACATATTGCAATTATGCCCCAATTTAAGTGGTGCATGTGGATATAAATTCGCGGTTAAAGCAAATAATTTTGTTCGCGAACGCAGACATAGTAAATGAACTATCATTTTATTGAAACTGTATGTTGTTTTTACTTTGATAAACATTTTTTACTTTGATAAACATATTTTATTGTCTGCGTTATATTTTATTGTATTTCAATTTATAAAAGCTAGGCATCGACTTAGACGCCTCATGCTCGCTTAGCTTCATCAACAATAAGATATAATATTTGTATTAAGCTTCATACCTTCTTCCTCGGCGTGATAGGCTAAATAAAATATAGGCGTGTTTATTCCGAACGCGGAAATTCCAGTTGACATTAGCAAGATTCTGACTGTTTTCGATTTAAGCGTCGAGAAATCAAAGAACGGTTGTCTATCGTCTGCTTTCTGCCTGTCTTTCATTTTCCTCTTGATCTTATTTTGGTTCTTCAAATGTAAAATTGCTCGTCGCTGGGGATGATACAGAGAAGCTGAGCGGTAGAATGTTCCCAGGATAAAGGTAACGAATACTACTCCTGTGACTGCCTGCAAACCAAGTCGCCACCCGATCGCTCTGGAAGAGTAGAATTTACCAGTATTAATCAAGGAGTGAGCACGTCTCTACTTTGTTAAAACAATTTTTTTCGTAACACGTTGAACGCCATATGAAAAATCGAGTATCTATATTCAGGTCACGGTGCTCATCGATGAGCCATTCGGGCCATGAGGGTCACCCGTGAGCCTTCAAAACTTCTTAGCTAGACCGTAAAAGTAGCTATTTTTTACCTTCCGTGCCAATTATCTATTTTATAAATTTCAGAATGATTATCTCAAGTTGATTCCTTGATTTTGGCATGGCCCGAATGGTTATAGGTATGCTAAACCCACCAGTGGATCATAAAGCGTAGAACGTAACATGTTCATTTTTGGGTCAAAAAATCATCATTCAGTATTATGCTTTTGCCAAATAGTTTGAATGATAAGTAAAATTTTATTATGTTCATTACCTGATGACACCTTTGATGAACGTTGACATGACAGCTATGCCCAGACCGCTGCCGCTGACTATAAATATTTCTACCAGCTCCCGTCTCCTTTTGAAGTATTGAGCTACCATTAAAGTCGAACAATCTCTCGTGAGACCCACGCCCACACCTACCACCGTTCCTAGAAAAATAATAAGGTAATTTCAATGAAGATGCAAACCAGGTTTCAAATACGGCACTTTGACGTTTGTACTATGTAGGTACATTATTCTTAGACCATAATGATAGATGATCTTTCGCTCTCTCTCTCTCTCTTTTTCTCGGTCTCTTTCTCTACGAGTACTGTGAGCCGCTTTGGGACTGAATTTGCCTTGTCTTACGGTATATGAGGTTTGTTGACCTATGAATCCTACCTGTACGTTTTTTTACTATTTTTTTGTGCCCTTGTAGGCAGACGAGGATACCGCACACCTGATGGTGAGTGGTTACTATCGCTCATGGAGGTCAGCAATGCCAGGGACCAAGCCAAGCCGCTGCCTATCCACTCACATCCTTGCCCACAACCTAGTCTACTTCTACGAGTACGAGCAGTAATGAACAAATGTGTGCGATTTATATAAGAAGTAAAAGTCTCTTTTTCATAGAAAAAAATGTTCTATGCACTTATATGCATCTTATACGCACAAGATATTATTTTAGATGCTTCGATCTTCATTTTACAACAGTACCTACCACTCACTGACGGAGTGTTAATAAAAATTACAAATTATTATAACGTTTAAGTAGGTATGTAATCTTAAGTTACAATATTTTTTAAGTAAGTAATCAGTTCAATATTTTTAGAATATAGACCTTTCAACGCCCTTGTCTAATAAAGATTTACTCATTGAATGCATCGATAATATATCAATGATTGAATGAATGTAGGCCTTGTTAATGTGTATCAAAAACGCTTGTCTGTCTACTAGATTTCAAGTTCTGTTTATTTTGTTTAAAAGTTACAGTTGTTTTAACTTCCTTGTGGAAATGTCCAATCGTTGAAACGCGATTTCTCCACCATAAATCTGAGTCACATCGTAAATATTTGCGATTCGTATCGATAGGTAGAGATACAGCTATGAGAAATAGCGATAGATGCGAACTGAACATTAGGCGCTCTGATAAATAAATCACCAGCAAAATCTTGACGTGATGCAAATTTCATGCAACAAAAGGAAAAGGTTGTGATTTTATTACTACTTTATAAATGAGTTTCGCGGTTTTACCCGCGTTCATATTATAATTCTGAAAGAATAGAATACGTTTCATAGTCTCGGAAGTTTATTGTAGTACCTACGTAACGCACCAGTTGATTTGCAGATCCTACGTGCTAATGATGCTTTAGTAATATTTGTTCTAATTTTCATTCACATCGTTTCAGGCATTTTTTTCTAATTCGTGAACAACCATCTAAACTAACAAACTTTCAAATTCAGAATATTATAATAAGTCTAGATATTTAGATATTTTTTTTAATGTATCCACGCAATATTTTTTCTTTCTTAATTATACATATTAATTTTAGTTTCATAAACGGTAATATTGTTAATGTTCTGCTTCTATGTTATATTATAACATTAACAAACTAACCATACATTTGGCGCGAATACTACTCATTGAAAGTTCAAGCAATGCCCAGACAACAAGTTCAAAGAAAGCTACTGCAGAATTTCTTCTATGGCATGATGCCAAAAACATCAACCACATTATTTTCACTTTGAATGCCATTTTACAATTCTTTTCAACAGCAATGTCCATATTTTATTTACTAAAATGTATCAAACATTTTTCATTTACATATTTCAAAAAATATTTTACGGACTTATAAAACACCAAATGAATCCTAATTTGCTGTTAGCTGTACATAATTAATTAAAATTAAACTAATTCTAACCTGCAGCTTCATTACAAAACAAAAAATAAATCTATACCTACTTAATATTATAAAGCGGAAGAGTTTGTTTGTTTTTAACGCGGTAATCTCAGGAACTACTGGATCAATTAGAAAAAATATTTCAGTGTTAGCTAGCCCATTTATTGAGGAAGGCTATAGGCTATATTATAACATCACGGTAAGACCAATACAAGTGGAGCACCAATAAAGAATGTCTCAAAATAGGGGCTCAAATAGCTTCCTTAACATATAATTCAAAAATATTTTCACTTTCTACGTAAATGAAGTGGGGGATAAAATTTAGCGTTATGCCAAAGTTACTATTCGTACTATAACTATAACGTCGGAAATTAGGCACTACTGCTCGACCTCCCCGGTCGGAAACCTAGAGGTAGACCTAAGACAAGGCGGAAGGATGTAGTGTTGAAGGATAAAAGAGTATGCAATGTTGCTGACGAGGATATCGAAGACAAAACGAAGTAAGTGGAAGAGTAAAGTAAGGAAAGCTGACCGCACCACCATGTGGGATAAATAGCTGGGAAGAAAGAGAGAGAGAGAGAGAGAGAGTTCGAATTTTTTCTGAAGATCAATGTGAATGTAAGCCGGTCTTTCTCAGAATATCTAAAAATTTATTACTTGTTTCTGCTAAAACAGTGTAGTAAATGATATTATGCATTTAAAAGATGTCATCGCTTATCAAAATTCAGGAGGGTAGCTCAGATGTGACAGACGACAAATCACTGCCATTCAACATGCAGATAAATTGTGGTTTTGTTTTATGTTCTTCTGAATTGCACTCATTGCTAAACAAACAATCGAAATACTCAAAAAAAACAATGTTATATGTAAGCAACATAGGACGTAAGACAGATTCTTGACACAACAAAATGCAAGTGAAACTTACTTATTTTCGGCGAAAGAAATTACTGTTATACTTAAATTAACGAATTAACCAAGATTGACTGAATTCGTATTCCTAAAATATGTGTTATTAATTTCATATTTCGGCAATACCTAATTTAACCTACATTAAAATATAAACTTAAGATGGCCTTTCCAACAAATAAATAACCTAGTTTTAATAGTTTTGTCAGATAAAATGCTCATTGTATTATAAATATTTGAAGAGTAATCAGCAAAGGGCGACTATTTTAATTATTGGCACTCTTTATACTGAATAAAGATTAATTAAACTCTAGAAAGAAGACAACAAATACAATATTCTTCAATTTCTTTGTTTTATGCATTAGATAGACAATAAAAGTCAGCATTAGACATTGCATTCATGTTTATTCAGTGAAAGACCGCTAGATAAAGCCGCGTCAGATTGCGGTTGAGATAATGTCGTATTTTGCTGCAAATCCCCTATTCTTGAGACGTTTGCAATAGACGTATTGTTGATTCATATACTTGTTTTAAAGCATATAGTTTTATTTTGACTATTTTTAAAAAAGAGTTTTGTTTTGAAATTTCATTGAATATTACTTTAAAATTATTAAAATTAATCTCACTCACAATTATTGTAAAGACCGGTTTGTCATCCTCTAAATCTATATCAACGCCGGCCTATTTAGATTAAAACAGATGATAGCAAATCCCGCCGGACTTAACTGTAACTCCGTTGATATGTACGAGTATAATATAATTTAAATAGTTTCCTTTAAATAGAAACTTTACTTTGAAGTAAAAACGTTCTACTATTAGACTAGAATTAGAAAAATGTAATTATGAAAATTGTAATATTGTATCAATTTATTGGAAACACAAGTGGTATAGGGGAAAGTTGACGACATTAAATTATTAATATTTGAAAAAATGATTTAAGATCATCGTGAATTTATGTTGTGAGACACATATTTGTAATGGCCAAGTTGGATCAGTGTGACGTTTACAACTAATCGAGCTTGATAATGTAGTACGGAAGGTCGCGCCCGACGCGATGACTACTAACAGACACCTACATTTTGCAGTAAAGAGCACAATTGCACAACTAAATTGTTTTTGAAATGAACACTGATCGTACTCTGTAAGTTTAGACTTGTGCTTTGCAAAAATACGAGATGTAGTTTTGAAATTCAATAAAACATGCATACTTGTAGATGTCTATAGGCTCCAGTAACCACTTACCACCAGGTGGGCTGTGAGCTCTTCCACCCATCTAAGCAATAAAAAAAAAAAAAACTTACCTACGTATTTTAAATTATAAGTACTTCTACAACTAGTCTGCGTTCCATGCCGCCTAATTTCGATTTCGAGAGCAGTGCCAGTATTTCTGTTATTTTAAATTAGCAGTTCTCTAGGCCTCTTTGGCATAGATTTAATTAGTTGGTGGGAAATGGATTTTTAAATTAATAATAATAATAATTGCATTTATTTACTCCACAATACTAATACAAATAAAATTTCAATTAATATGACATAAAAATTCTAATTTTAAACAATATTACAATATATTATACTAACACAGTGGAGATAAAAAGGCCGCGGCTCAGCTTTAAATTTAATCATTATGCATTAAATTTAATTAAATCATGAAAGACAGCTATAGTATCATTAAAACAAATCTAATACTTATACTAACTTAATACTAATAATAACGTCATCTGAGTATTGTATTCTACCACAGAGTACCACTATTATTAAAGGCGCCTATTAATCTTAATTTTTTATTAATATAGCTTTTCCCCTGCAACTTCCCCTGCGTGGATATAACGAATTTCGTAAAAATCGATTTAATGGTTTGGGCGTGAAAATGTAACAGACAGGCCGAGTTAATTTTCATAGTAAAATCATTTGCTATATAACTTCTAACATCTAATTTATCTATTAAAAAAATAAAAATAACTTGAAATCAGGAAAAATCTTGTTTCAATGAAATAAATGGTTTTAATGAAATAAAGCATTTATTTTTAATGTTCATTTCTGTCTACCTGTGGAACTGATTGATCATTCCCCTACCCAATGGTGGTAACTACTCGTGCGGGCTTACAATACGCTCTATCACAGGTAAAATTGGCACAACAAGGAGAACACCAATTTTAATGCTCATGTTATGAAGTCACAAAAATACATTTAAGTCTTTTAGAATAAGGCAATATTATATTCTTCATATAGATATTTGTATGAGTGCCGTTATCTTGAAAGGTCGTTAATTATAGTGGGTACCTAAGTGATTTTCGGCATTTTGATCTCTTACTTGACAACAAACATGCTAAATACTTCTTAAAGTTCATCACGTTTCATTTACAGTTTAATTAACCTAACAATTAATTTACATTTGTGCTAAAATAGCTTTGTTTGAAAGATAGATCTAAAATGTCTTTCGTCGTGACACGTATCGCGCAAATGCTTTGTTCTATCAATCTAGGACGACTCCCAGATGCCGAGATGTTTTCATTAAAGATATTCCCGTTTATTTGGCCACGGCTAATTAGCGGATACCTTTGATGTATGAAAACAAGCATCGGCCATTTATCTTTGTGTTATTAATTGAGTTGTCGGCGAATGGACGAACATTTTCAGTCCTTGTTTTTTAATGTAGTAATTACAAGAAGTTTCTTTTTTAATTTTAGAAGACGAGTCGCTGTTTTTACTATGAATAGGACGCATGTATATGTTAGGTTAAATGATTTGACATGACAATCGTCTGTTTGAAGATTATTAAGAATGGTATCTTTTTGCAAGTTGGCAAGTGCAACGCCAGTTTTTACCATGTCACCTAATTTCCCATCATTTGTAGCATCATTATTTTTATCTTCTTTTTCCTAATTCCTACTTTAATTAGGTATTGGTGATAGGAAATTTTGCGAATTCCCATATGATGTTGTTCGCAATCAGGTGTTTCTATCTGAAGTGCTAGACAGCCATTGTTCCAGCATAACTGAGATTTTGACTTAACCTTTCAAGGTAGAAGCAGTCTCTCAAACGTACCAACCTATACCTATACCTATAGGCTTCAGTGATCGCACTAAATTATGTTTGTCGTGATATCATTATAATTTGATATCAAACCTTAGAAAATTGAAAATAAAACTTACCATAACTGAAAAACAGCTGATGAAATTGTGTGGCAAATGATGTGAAGAGACATCCCAGAGCTGCTACTAAACCACCCACCACCGCCGTAACGCGTGTAGACTTTCGAACGCAGAGGGCCACTGTTACTGGAGACAAAGCCAATGCCACCCCCGCTGACAAAGCACCTAGACATCCTGAAACAAAATGAAAACTAAACTGTATCAGAACTGCATACATTAAATAATGTCCGTGAAAAGAAAACAGTGTAATACCATCTTTATTATTATTGGTACAACACAATTGTATATGCTAAAAAAGAGACGCAGAAAATTAAAACAGAATAAACGTTAAACTATTTTTAATTTTAATGTATTTAATTATAAATCTAACATAATTTGATCTTGAAGTAGACAGTCTAAGGCTTCGTTGCGATATTTCTTGGTTTACGTTAAATACACTTTTGTAGCCTGATTGTACACAAGCTCGTAAAGATCTGTGTGTGGCATATCGGCTTCCTTCTACGGCGCTGATTGAAAGGGTCTGTCAGTTAATGTACTACGTGATATGTTTTTATTATACATTGCTTCTTATAAATTACGTTTTTAATTACTCCTTACACTTAAGTTATGGCGTAAGAAATTAAAGTGAATGTGTATAAAAATTATTAGTGTCTCAGAAATAGTATTTTGTTGGAAATACAGTTAGTGTAGTCCACTGATGGTAGAGTACTGTAAGCCCACATGGGAAAGTACAACAATCTTATCTATTCCTGTCGCCACGAAATTCCCGTTTGAAGGGTTGGGATGCCTATGGGCTCCGGTAAATACTTAACACTAGGTGGGCCCGTGAGGTCGTTCGTATTTTTAAACTTTGAAAAGATTTAGTAATAGACACCGATTTTCAAGATTTTAGTACCTACCTCCCTCCCACCTATGAAAATTATCGGGTATGTATTTTTTATGAGATATTTTATTGTTTGTTTTCTGATTTTTGACACTGTAGCTTTTGACTACAGAAAAAAGCATTGCTTACGATATAATCTCATGAGGGTTATGAGACTGACCTTTTAGTTCTATCATTTATTTCCACATTAAAAGTATACATAATTTGCTTTACTGTCTGAATGTCCGTAAAGCAAATGTAACCACTGTATTTTCTTTAAAAGACACATTTCGGTCTTTTGAAAAAAATACAGTCGTTTAGATTATCTTTCACGAAAAATAAAATAATAACAAGATGCTTTATAAATTTACACCGTGTGCCTCAACATTTTCTCCGTTATAAACTTACCAACTTACGTTATGGAATGTGAAAAATTAAAATTAACTAAACTAAACATTAAAATTAAGACTAAAACACATAGGACTTAATGAATTGAAACTTTAATTTAATTCTAAGTAAAGTAAGATGAGTAATTGGGTTCATTTGACGTATCGGTTGGAGAGAAAATAAAATTAGATGGTTCAGTAACATTTGAAGAACGATGTCATGCAGAACTAAGGGATTCAAGGTTCGATGACTTGTACATGCAACCAGAATAATTATCTACCACAAATCGTATGTTTAAATCTAACAAATGATGTTTGTCTAGACTCGTGTCTGATTAATTTACGAATAAAACAAGGGACCATCTTACGGAGATTTTCTTAGTTTCAAATTGTTCGAAGACAGAAATGAAGCGGCACGTCAGATATATCAGTCAGTCTTAATAAAGTTCGTATTGAAATAAACCGGTTTCTTTGCGAACTGTGCTTAAGAAAGATTTGCAAAACAAAAAGGGCTTTATGAGAATAAGCCGAGTTTTGCTTAAAACAATAAATGTTATACCACATGAGATTATTGGCCACTCTCAATCGATTCGCAATAAAGAAATGTACTGCATCAACATCTTTTAAATAAATTGAGGATTGTCCGTTTTAAACTTGCCAAATATCGGCCATCAGCTGACACTGTACGAGCACTTTAGATAAATTGAAAGCGTTCTCTTTAGGATTTTTTTTTATGGGTAAGTGTTTTGATGTGTTTTTTTCAGCTATTTTGATCAAAAGCCGACTTTTGATCAAAATTAAATTCGGTTTCGCTTGCAATGTGATTCTGTGTTAGAATACGGTAGTGTTTTTAAAAAAATAAAAAAGCAAATGTTTTGGAGACTAATATGATTAACTAAATAATTTAACATTACAAAGGTTAGCCTATTGGCTTAAACTTTAAGCGGTATTTTGCAGGCAGCCAGGTACATAGAGAAAATGTTGAATACAAATAGTGGTTTTTCAATTGTAAAATATTACATGTATTTGTTATTTATATGTCGCGTAGGAAAGCTTTATGACACGCGTAGAATATAAATTAGTGTATTATCTTTGGAAGATTCTATAAATAAATAGGTGAAAACGAAACATGTAGTGACATTTTTTTTCTTGTTAACAACGGATTTTCTTTTGCAGCATAGTTTCTTGGTAAGTAGTGATGATATTTATTTTTGTCAAAAACTATTGTATGTTGGTAATAAGTTGTTTCTCTTAAAAAAAATCATAATTAAAAGAATAAAATCAGTATTTACACAAGTACATAACTTTAATTTAAAAATTTGAAATACTAATGGTCGAATGTCAATCACAAGGGCAAATACCTTTTTTTTAACGCTAGGGAATCCGTTTTTGGGTACGGGGTAAGATACCAGGTTATGTCGAACTTCGGCGCCTCCAAAGATGAAGAGGGAGAAGAGGAAGACAGAGGTCCTCTTCTTCCAATTCCTGTCCAGAGACTAGACTAGACCGTGGCGCTGCGTGGCGTTAGCCACGCAAGACTCGCCCCGCAAAACCGACTACCGACTAAACCTTATCGAGCTCGACTCCACGAAGCCCATGGTACCGTATAGTGCGCGCCGAAAGTCCGCCTTCGCCGGTACCCGTCCTGATAATAGGACGGGATTTCATCCTTGGTAAGATCCCGCGGGACGTTGTCTCGGGAGACACACTGTGGGCGGCGCACAGGAGCCACCTTGCGCCCCCTCACCACCGGACCGACAGGCGAGCACCGGGCGACTAGGGCAAATAACTAGTGGTATTTATGGATAACAAATTAATTGATCTCTATACATAACTTAATATACGAGTATAAAGAAATGTGAGCCGCGTTAAGTTATCAGTGCTGTCATGTACTTACTTAACTCAAATTTCGAATACTAAACATAACTTTTTTGATTAATTTGAATAAGGAATTCTTGCCCCATCTTGTTATTAAATTATCAATTTACATTAAAATTCGCTTCAGTTCTCGCAACACAATTAAAACTATGTTTAATGTTTTGATCCGTTTCAAAAAAGAAGTGGATTAAAAGTAAGGCAGTTTTTTTTATGATTGAATGATTACTGGTCGCCCGGAGGCCTTTCCAGTTTCACCAGAACAGGAACGAGCAAAGAAGAAGGGTCGTCGTACCCCCTTTCGGGGGCACGGAACGGGCCTCGGGGCAAACCCCACTACCCGGGCTGAAACTCCCTACCACATCGGGCAGGGGTGAAGTAGATGCGGGGAGGACTTGGGGAAGGTACGCTGTTCGCAGCGTGCACGGCTGCACTACATCGACAAAACATATATACTTATACATAATACGATGGGCTTGAATGGCTCCAGGGATGACGCCCGGCAGCAGGATCCTCCGGCGTCGTGTTGTCCTCAATTTTTTTTTTTTTTTTTTTTTTTTTTTTTTTTTTTTTTTTTTTTTTTTTTTTTTTTTTTTTTTTTTTTTTTTTTT